TTATTCAATGATAATAAAAATAAAAATAAGTGCTTTTAAAAAAACGTTCTCTTCAATTCTCGATTAAAAGGCTACTACTACTACTACTACTATAAATATTTTAATAGATTTTTTACATTTAATTTATTTCAAACGGTAAATATTAAAATTCCTTTTTACGAATTAACTGAAATTTCTTAGAATTATTCTAAACCATCAATTAATCTTCATTTTATTATTTCCTATTGATTTTGTTTTACATACATTTCTATTTTTTCAAAGATAATAAAACTGAAAATTAAAAGATAAGAAAGAAACAGAAATAAGAATAGAAAAGTAAAACAGAATTTTGTCATCGTGTGTTTTACCAAATAAATCTTGAGTGATAGACGTAGAAAACTGTATGATTCTTTAGCTAATCTATAAAAGATAGAGAGAGATGAATAATAAAGAAGAAGATGATGAAGTAGAAGAAGAAATGAATGTCATCTAGACTCGAATAGCCGGTTGTCATTAAATAATGTCTTACCATTATAAAACGTACGAGCGATTACAAGACAGTGAATTACATGTTCTCGTATTCTGACAGAACACGAGATCGGTAATCTCAGATTAGACAGTTTTGGTTGAATATATAATCCAATGTTTCAAGTAGATTCTTAAATATTGATAAGTTATCATTGAAAAAAAAAAAGAAAAGAAAAAAACATATTGTTACAAAATGCAGTAACAATGTAGTTTAGTGCCACGTATATAATAATTACGCTAATCGTTAATAATAAAATTTAATGGGTGATTAAAAGCGACTGTAAAAAAAAGAAAAAGGAAATATCGATCGAGGTTTTCTTAGTTTTTCCAATACACATTATCATTTCAGATGATCTTTTATCTTTGATTCATATAATAATACGGAGTAATCACGTGATCGAGATGAAATATATAATCGATATATTATGTATTTTTTATATAAGAATCTTTTTCCCCGTTCCTACGTGTATGAAGAAAATTACAACAGCATTTTTTCAACTTACAATAAATAAATATTATAAATATACTAATATTATTATTTGTAATAAGATATGAAATGATAGTTACTAGAATTACGTTATTACAAGGAAAGTAATTTATGTTCTAGTCAGGTTTCGTGATATTAATCGTAGATAGGTGTTTTCTTTTTTTTCGTTTTTCTAATTCACAATAATATTTAGTATTTAATGTAAAGAATTTTTAATATTTTGTAAAATCATGGTTATATTACGAATCACACGTTTATAGATTTCTTATTTGAATTTTTAAATCAATATTCATTTGATACCGTATTATTAATTTTAATGGTACATACATAAACGGACTTTATAATTTTCTTAAGATTTTTTTTTCTTTCTTAAAGTCTTATAATAAGTCATATTTATTATAGTATAATTATACATTTTTTTTTATGATATCTACTTAATTTTTACAATAAATAGTAAATAGTATTTTATTTCGACAAATTGTTTTTTTTTTTTTTTTTTTTTGATAAAAGTAACGTGAATTTTAAAGACAAATATTCTAATATTTATTATTGTTTTTGGTTTGTCGTCAAACTTTAAGCTCATTATCAAGATAATTTTATTTATTTTTTTATTTTCACATGAACATACTTTAGTTATTTATCCTCGAATCCTTAAAATAAATTAACTATGAGGAAAGTAATTGATTAATAAGAAATTTTCAGAATGTTCTCGTTAAATGCTCTTTTTTTTTTCTCCAATTCTTGATAAAATGCAGATTGATCATGGTCGTATTTTTAACATAATATTATGTAGAATTATTTCCTTTTTACGTAGAATTGCTTGTCATTTATATACAATACATATATTTTTACATTTTGTATTTCTTATTTTAAAAAGAACGAAATAATGATCTCGTATTATTATCATTATTATTATAATATCTTCTTTGTGTTCATCATCCTAAATACTACTATGTATAGAAATATAATTAAATAATTTCTTTTATTAGCAAAGAAATGTATATTCAGGTCTTGATAATAAATGAATAAATAAATAAATAAATAAAAAAATTAATAAAAATAAAAATTGAATTGGGAAACGATGAATGAAAAAAAAGAAAAAAAAAAAGAAACCATCCATTCCTATGATAATTTCTTTGCTGATAATTTAGAATGTTCCAAACCAACAATTCTTTTGCTTGCTTGCTCTTGGCTTTTATTTCCGGATGTGGATGTAAGTCGATGCATTATGCAATAGAATTATTACGTCATATTGTTGATAACTCCGACGACTTCTTTGACTTGAAGAATAACAATTTTAATTTAGTAGATATATTAATTTCGCTCTCTTTTTCTCTTATCTTCACTTACCATTCAAAATTCTATTAATCACAATCAATAACTAGTATTTATTACTTAAGCATAATTAAGAATTTAATTTATAATAATGGGGTAAGTTACAAATGATATTAATTCGATTACAGGATAACAAATGTTAGTTCATTAAGTACGATACGTTCGATTTTTTAAACTGAATGTAATCGGTGCTATCAAAACGATTAATAGTTTGTAATCTCATATTTTCTTTTTTTTTGTTGTTTTCATTGCAATATTAATTAATATTGCAAATAATTGTAATAATTTATAAAATTTAATGTAAATTCTTAGAATTTGTATTTAATTTATTTATAATTTAATAATTTTCTTTTCTTTTCATTCTTACGATAAATTAATGAACTTTAATGTAAAAATATACAAATATTTTATATTATCTTCTACTATTCTATCCTCATTTTATCCTTTACATTAAACCACGATTAGTTGATTATCTTTTAATGTTAATACACTAAGGATAAATATCGATAACTGATTTCAATTTTAGGATTATAAGGAAAGATTAAACCATGTAATGGGGTAAATGGAAAATAATCTTAATTTTATTCAAGAATATTCTTTTTATCTTTGATTTACCATCCCAGTTTTTTCTTTTTTTTTTTTTTTATCTTCTTCTAGTGAACAGTTTCTTATCAAGGATACTTAGTATATTTTCTTTCTTTTTTGTTCTTCCAACGTAAATTAACATTGTAAATAAGATATATGCAATTCGATGCAAAAATGTATATATATATATATATATATGATATTATTGAAATTTATTTATAGGATAGTTTTAAAATTGATTATTAGATTTATATATGGATAAATTTTAATGATAAGGATATATCACAATGTGTTACATGATTTAAAATTATTCATTGTTCTTACAATCTATTCCTCCTTATTTTCCTTGATGTAGATCTGTTCCTTTTTTTCTTTTTCTTTCTTTTATACTCATTGTGGTAATGTTAAATGTCACGTGCTTACAGATGAATATTTTTAAACATATATATATATATATATATATATATATATATATATATATATATTTATATATAATAATAATTAACACACCTCTCACGTTTTTTATTTAAATTCTCGATGCATATATGTCCTGTGTATAAGAAATAAAGGCTGAAATAACGTCATACGAGAGCGTTCATACTCATATGAATAAATTGATAAACGCGTTGTCAACTATACTTCTAATGTTTGAAATATACGATTAAAAATGAATTTATTTATTTTCATTTTCCTCAATGTTCAAATTTATTACATCTCGTATGAATATGTATACGATTAATAAATAATGATCAGATGTTATTTTAAAGTCATTTTTTAGTTACCACTTTTTTTTTTATATCCATTTCAAGAAAATAGAACTCTAATGAGTTTTAGTGATTTTTATAAAATTTTAAGACGTTGAACGCCACGTCAACCATCGGTGACTGACACTAGACTTTACATTTAGGCCACGTCCGTCATCGGTGACTGACACGTTCAACTACTTTTTTAATACAAAGTAACACCTGTGGCCTGACGGGAATTTCCCTAAAAATTCCCGTGACGCTCGAACGTGTTAAACGATCATCGCAATACGTAACGAAGCCAGTTAAATGGTATAAATAAATAAATTATAAAGTGATGTATATTTTTTTGTTCATTTTCTTACATTTTATCTTATAATTATTATAATGCGATTCTATCAGAATGGATGGATATTTTTTTGTGAATTTAATCTTTGAATATTCTGAAACAAATTGTTAATTTCTTCTCGCATTATTTTAAATCCAATTTTAATGGACGATTATTTATATCAAAAAAGTCGATTGAACTTTTTTCACGACAATGTTATTATCATTTGTTAAAAAATTGTCAATTTTATTCTATTCATTAACAACTCTCACAGTTAACATGTTCAAACGTATGTATATAAGTATACTCATGAATGATTGTATTTACCTGTACAGGTCGTAGATTATTAACATATGAGAAATAAAAGAAAAAAAAGAGAGAGAGAGAGAGAGAGAGTGAAAAATAAAGAAGAAGAAAAAGTATCTTAAAGAATCTGCCAATGATAATAGTTTAAAAGGTCAATGTTAAACTTTAAGCGTTTAATGTAATTAACATTGTGCGGTTTATACATCTTTAGTGGTTTATCTTTTTTATCATCCCTCTCTTCTCAACTCTCTTTTCAATGAGTATCCTTGACTTTGAATCTAAAAGAAGTAACCTTCATAAACGCACACACACACACACATGCGTACACACAGTGAATATAAAATTATGAATAATATGTAGATGTATGTGTATAGGTGTGTGTAGGATATATAAATTTAAATAAGTAGAAGAAAAATAAATGAATAGTAGATTTTTGTGTATGTGTGTGTGGGTAGTTGGGTGCATACGTATATATATATATATTTTTATATCTGAATATTTATGTATAAAAAAATAAATGCATTGGCATATTTGTGTGTGTGTGTGTGTGTGTGTGTGATATGTGAATGGCACATGTGGTAGACAATTGTTTCAGTGACTGTAACTCTGACTAATTTTGAATAACTCAAAGATGGTAGATGGTGGATGGTAAGGATTGGGGGAGGACGGGGGGAGGAGTAGTATACCACTATAAGGTTCACGCACGCTTCACTCTTATTCACTTCGATTCCGAGCATCAACCGAGAATCATTCGTGATTTGTGTTTCCTTCTATTAAATTCATTCAAAAGAGGATATTCTTTATATTCTTATTTTCAATTTTACCTTTTATATATCAAATATATCAAAATTAATCATGAAATGTTACGTTTTGTTCATATTCAATTTAATTTTGTTTTCTATGATATTCGATGTTGGCCAATCAAAAGATATACGTGAGTCAATTTTAATTATATTAAATGAATTAATTTCTTTAATTTTTTTTTTTAATTGTTATATCGTTGAATGTTTAATTTAAACATGGTGATGGTTAATTTAAAATATTTCTTAAAATTGTATCATTTGTTACGAGAAGATAAATATTTTAATTTGTTTTTTATTTTACAAATTGTATAAGATTTTATTTTGATTTGTCAAATTTTGATTACAATAGTTTTAGTAAATTTTTTTTTCTAATAACAATTTTTAACACAGGTAAATAAATCATTTATTTTTCTTTACACCCTGTTGGTTCAATTAATTGATATAGTTTTACAAAATAAAATAATTATAAATTTCCTAACAATTATTAACACATTTAACTTATCTTTTCTTTTTAAATTAAATTATGCACATTAGATTTGTCATCTTATCTTTTCAACTTTTACGAAATATTAAATGTATTACATTTTTTTATTAACTATAATTATTTGGGCAACTTCTTTGGTTCATTTTTTTAAAAATAATTACCATCATCATGCAAAAAAAAATAATTAATTTTTAAATTGTATTCTGAGTCTTGTATACAATTTGATCATGTTTTATTTTCTTATTAAATAATTTGATTTTTTTCAGCTGATTTCATTCACGTATGCAAACGTAACGATCCCAATATTGTTCCTTGCGTGACTGAAAGTGTCGAATCTTTGAAACCATATCTTCAAAAAGGGGTACCAGAATACAATATTCCATCATTGGAACCACTTTTATTGAAAAATCTAATTGCTACCGAAAGAGCTGGTCTCAGGATAAGTGCTAAGGATGTAGAAGCCTATGGTGCAAGTGATTTCACCATAACAGATTTGAAGTAAGTTAATGATTTCATCCAATTTCAATCAAATCATATACGATTTAAAAAAAAAAAATAACACTTTTATCATTACGATTAAATAAAATTATTGTTTCCAAGAAAGTATTCTTGAACAATAAATTACGTATGAATATATTTTCTCATGAATTTTTATTAAAAAACCGGTAAACAGCTGATTCTGATTCATACTTAAACATTGTTTATTTATTTGTCCATTATTAAAAAATAATTTATTTATTTTTTATCTTTTTTTAATGGAATAGAATCTTCTTTGTTATATAAAAATTTGACAAAAGATAATGGAACGTTTAAATAATTGTTCCAAATAATTTTATATTATACAAAAAAGAAAAAATTAAATATTACGAAAAACCAAAAATAAAAATTCAATATCTTTTTTAAATATAGAAATGAATATTAATTTTTATTGAATTTCAATTTGTATTTTTATTTTAAAAATAAATCCGAAGGATACATGGAAATTTTTGGCATTCATTAAGAATTCTTTGAGACACGAACTATAAAAATGTAATAACGTTATTGAATATTTAATAAAAGATTACGAATTCAGGAAGTAGAAAATTACTGCTTAATGTGGAAGGAAGGAAGGGGAGGGAGATTGGGCTCGCATTACAGCACAGATCATTTCAATATGTTGTCTACTTTATCGTAATTCACGTAATCCTTAATCACGTAGATTAATATAATTGTAATAATAGTAAGAAGAAACTATACTCGATACCTTATACAGTCATCTTTATGTGATACTTTTTATTAACCTGCAAAACAAGTAAGAATGAAACCGTTATCAAACAATAATAAACGATCATTGAACTTGTTTCATTTTTTTTTTTTTTTTTTAAGGAAGCATGACGTTCGTTTTAATTGTTTCTCTCTTTTTTTTTTTATAATTTACTTTCTTCTTGGTTTTTATATAATTTTTTAATTCGATATTATATTTCATACGAAATTATATATTAATTTAATATTTTATTTTATTGTTCCGCGGTAATGAGAATGATTTTTAGAATAAGAAGATAAGTGTTTTTATTGTGTAAAATAATTGAGAAGTAAAAGTTGTCATATTGGAATATTGATTGGTTTTTTTTTTAAATATTAAATAACAAAGAAAAGATTTAACACATAAATGTTACGCAGGATCATTTTTCATATTCATTATTATTTAAATTGTTATTAATATTTAAAAGAATAGTAATTTAGAATGGAAACAGAGATAAATTCATTTGTAAAGGATCTTTGTTTGATTTTGTTATTTAATTGTTAGAATTTGATTAAAAAACGAGAGATAAAAGTGAAATAAAGTTGTGACAGATTAACGAACAAATATTATTAAGGGGTTACATGGGTTTCATCGGGGTAAAAACGGCGTATTTTCAAGATTTTTTTTTTCATATAATATATGAAATATTTGATTCAAATTTTTTATTATCTTAAAGATACATATTTAATAAACATTTTCTGAAATTTAAAAAAAAAAATATTAAAAACTCCGCCATTGTGACGTCATTCCCGGCGAGCCCTCGAAAAAAAAGTGCATTCGCGTTGACAGCCGAACTCCAAGCAGGATCATTTGAAGTGAAAAAAAAAATACTTGTTTTAGTTAAGGCTTCAAACTAAAAATTGGACGAAGGAAAAAAAAATTCTGCGGCATTTAAAAAAAAAAAATAGTTGTAATTGAAAAAAAAAAAATCCTTCGTCCAAGTCCTTGTAAATTGTATCTCGAAGACCTGTTTAAAATTTCATCGAGATCGGTGGAGTACCCTTCGAGAAATCTTGACAACCGACTTTGAAAACATAGTTTTGAGAAAAACACATTTCAAGTTTTGAGTGACCCAGCAGGTAGCCTTGAGCGCGCAATTTTAAAAGGCTGTGTCTCTGAAACTATTACTCGGATCAAGTTGAAATTTTCGGATAATATTCTAGAGATGTTGTTGATTTTAATAAGCAACAAAAAAAAAATCGATTTTTTGAATCCGTGAAACCCATGTAACCCCTTAAGTCTATCTTATCCTTTTTGTTTTATTTTTAAATAAATATAATAAGAAAAATTGTATAGAAAATAAATTGCAGACGTTCAGTTGTCATTTCATTGGTTACGTATATTTTTATAGAAGAAAAAAAAAAAATACAATGAATCAAACGAACGAGAGATAGAAATAAGTTAAAATAATTGTATATAATACTGTATTACGACGAACTTATCGTTTCCTATCTTATTTGAAAAAAAAAAAACTGAAATAAAATTATATTATATAAACGATTAAATCAGATAAATCGATTTAAACGTAACGTTTTCATTCAGTGATTCGCTAGTTTCGCACGACTGATCATCATCATTGATATTTTAATGTACGAATATATAAGAAGAAGTAGAAGAAAAAGGAAAAGAAAAAATAAAAATAAAAATAAAACTAAATGTGAATATAATTACATCGATTGATCATTCGATCCGGGAAAGTAAGATTACTTTATATTCAGTTTATGGTATTGAGGTACGACCGTGACACGACTGCTTGAAACGCGAATTTGAAAACAATTTTCATGTTACTAAACGCGTATAGCTTGTTACCTGTAACTTCTTAGAAAAAAAAAAATAGAAAGAAAGAAAAATATAAAAAAGGTGGATAATCGTTGACAGATAAGAAAATAAAATAAAAACAAAAATGGATATGATCATTACATGAGAAAAAAAGGAATTTGTAGAAATATATAACATTGTTGACCTAGAAACTATCTTTCCTCATGATCTTGATTTTATTTATTTCTTTTTTTTCTTTTTTTCGTACTTTCGTGTAAGTTCATTCATCGTGCCGAACACGTAATTGAAAAGGTCAACAAACGATTCCCCTAGTTCTAGATTTGTATCAAACTTGTACTACATTTTGATCTTTTTTGAATTTAAATTCTTTTGTTTTCTGTTTCTCACGGAACATTACATTTTTACATTTTTTTTTTCTTTTTTTTTAATTGTCGATATTCGTCCAAGTATTTTCAAATATTTTTATTCCACGAATAATATTGAACAATTTTCGAATGAAATAATAAGCTCGATGTTTTTTTTAATAGCAAGTGTTGATTTTTATTTTTCACAAATATTAATATATTGATAAATTATAGATCATTTTAAATTATTCTGATATTTTGTGAATCAAAATAGAAAATTTGTATTGAATTTTGATAATCAATGTTCCTCAAATCTAATCTTTGCAATTTGTTTTTTTTTTTTTTTGTTTAACTTTGATTACAAGTAATAACTATTCCATAATCAGAATCTTAACTTCTCGTCTCTACAATTTTGTAGTATTAATTTCTACAGTGTTCAAGGAAATTAGAGAGATCATTTTAATCAACACTATTCAGAAAAATGATTAAAAGATACTTATTTCTAATTTTATTGAACAATTTGTAGCCAATTAATATCTGATTTTAATTATCCAAGTTCCAAGAATCAAATTTTTTCTTCTTTCGATACTTTCAAAGTATTCATTTTCATTGTCAGCTACCATAATTTAAAAAAAATACAACTAATCAATGTAAATTTATTGGAAATTATTGATTGAACCGTGAATAACAAATTAATATTTGATTATCTGAATTCCAAGAATAAAATCTTCCTTTCTTATCTCATCAATTTTGAAGTATTTATTTTATGATTGTCTAAGAAAATTAAGAAAATTGTCTACTAGTTTAATTTTTTACAAAGAAAAAAGAAACACAGTATAAAATATCACTTATTTTGAAGAGATTACATTTTTCATAAACAAATTAATACCTGATTTTGATTATTAAAATTTCAAAAAAAAATCAAATCTTTATTTCTAATTTCGGATACTTTCGAAGTATTCAATTCCATTGTTTAAAAAAATTTTAAAAATTCATCTCTTTATAAGAATACAATTAAAAAAAAAAAAAATTGAAATAAACTATTTTAGTTCCTTTTAAAAAATTATTCAACGTCGGTATTAGGTGTGTATCAATTTTCGGTAATAGGTGTGCCAGTCATCGACGTTTGCTACCTAAAAAAATAAAAAGGTCATCAACTTTGAAAAAGTTGGAACTCTTTTTCTACATTTTGAAAGTCTCTGGGATCACTGTTCCTTCCTTTCTTTCTTCTTCGTCTGTATGTCGTTTGAGTAACACGTGGATTTTTTTCCAAAAGAATTAGGAAGACCGTCAGCAAAAAGGAATTTCAAAAGAGAAAAAAAAATCAATTAACCTCTAAAACAAACACACATATTATACATTACATTAACATATTCCGTTTTAAAACATAGAAAAGACACGTATCATCTTTCAGTATAATTCATAAAAAAGAATTAAAAAAATTCAAATTTATTCGACAAAAAAAAATCAATTATCATTTTTATCAATTACCATTTACCAAAAAATTAACGAACAAAATTAATATTAACATAATTTTGTTTTTTCTTTTTTCAAAAAAAAAAAAAAAAATTAAAACTCACCACATCACCAAAGGACAAACTTCGACAAGTTGGAATTCGATTTGAAGATCAAATTACCGCACTTACATATCAAAGGAAATTACGATATCAACGGAAGAGTATTACTTTTACCAATTCAAGGTTCCGGACCAATGAATGGAAATTTCACCCAATGTACCGGATCTGTCAAAGTACGTGCAGGAAGTACGGAAGAACCTAACGGAGATCATCGCCTTTTCATCGAAGATTTTCAAATGAAAATAACCGTTGGCAAGGGTACCTTAAATCTTGACAATCTTTTTGGCGGTGAAAAGGTTCTCGGTGATGTAATCAATAACGCTATAAACAGCAATTTCGATGCATTCTTAGGGGAAATGCAACCGTTGATCGAGAAAGCATTGTCCGATGCATTCCGTGAAATAGCGAATGGTATTATCAGTAATTTCACTTATGAACAACTCTTCCCTTTAAATTAATAATTCAAACCAAGTAGAACGAAAATAAAAAAGGTATACATACATACGAAATTAGACTTATGGAAGAAAATAAAAAATAATAAAAAAATAAAATCAAATCATAGATAGAATATTTAGAAAACGATACGGATGACGAATGATGATGATGATAATGATGATGATAATGTCAATGATTAAATATTGATAATTTGCCATTGACATTATTGACAATTTAAAATGCTACCTCTGGAATTTTACATATATATATATATTTATGTATGTATGTATGTATATTTTTATAGATCAAATGATTAGATTTTACCACGTCGAAAATCATTCGTATATTATAAATGTTTGATTTGTATTAAGAAATGTAAAATATTTCTTCAACTATGTTAAAAAAAAATTATTCGAAGGTTACCTTTTGTAATAAAGATTTTCTCAATACTTTCAAAAGGTAAGGCTTATTCGAATTTTAATTTATAATATCGCTTCTTAGTTTTATATTTTATTTTATTATAATCATTTCAATACCAGTATTCGTATAATATTTAATTTAATTCGTATTATAATATCTATATATATGCCTGTGATTCGAACTAAGAGGAATGTTATGATGTTAATGAGATTATAAAAAAATTCATAATCTTAAGTATTATATAATATGCGAAGAAAAAGATATTGAAATTTGTTAAAATAATCAGTATGAGAGAAAGATAAGAAATTCATATCTATATATATGTATATCTATATATAGAATATGAATAATATATATTTATATAGATCTTTATGTATATGTTAATTTTATTTTTACGGATGTTTTATCGACGTGCATTTCAAAGTTCTTGGTTTTATCTTCAGAAATCAAAAAGAAAAAAGAATAAAAAAAAAAAAGATACTGAACTTCATCACGTTTAAGCGAGTAACATAGAATACAATACGCATACTCTGGTCGATAAGTAGATTATTATAAACAGGTGTATATTCATTATACAAGAATAGTCAAATATAATTTATAAATTTGTAGATTTTAACGCCTCTGAGACGCAACATACTGAATAAAGCAATTTAATGTTAAATATATCCTAAAATTGTATTATTTGATTAATAATATAATTCTTTCCTTTTATATATAAAAAAAAAAACCAAAATGTATAGTTTGAAATAACATTGAGATAAAGATTATATTTACTTATAGTAGAGTTTTACAGCTTGATCGAAAACTATAGTAGTAAAAAATCATTTATATATTTTTCATTTATTTTTGGACATGTCACAGTAGTAATTATTTATTTATTAATATTTATTATTCTTCATTTAATATCATTCGAACATGATCTGATTCAGGAAGATAACTGAATGATTTGTCTAGAGAAAAAAAATGAAGAAATAATAGTTCTATTTTTGTAATGCACGTGTAAGTTATTTTCCATTGACGTTCAATCAAGGTCTTAACGATGCATTATCCATAAAATTGCATTAATTCTTTATTAATTGATAGTGAAGCGTATTGTACAATATTGTATTTATTTTTTTACTTTTTTTCGTTATTTTCCTTCCTTTATAGTCAATTTAAAAAATATAAATCAATGCTGTATCAAAAAATAATATATTTAAGAAAAACAAATTCACAAGGTAAACGCATAGTATGATAAAAAGGTTGACAAAAGTGGTCAGAATATAAAAATGTTTATTTTTGTTTTAATTTTGATGAAATTTGAAATTTAAGTTTCCTCGGTTTTTTCCTTTCTGTTTTATTATTTAATATATTAATAAATAATCAAAATAGACAAGTCCATTAGTATAAAAAAAAGAACAAAATGAAAGATCAGAAAAAACGCAAAACAACAAAAATCGTACATTTATTCTCGATCAGGTGAAATCTCGTCCAATGGGTAACTTGAAACGATATTGTTGGATATAGTCAATATATTTTTGGCGATATCCCTTTCAATGTTTGGTTTAACAACGCGAATAATATCAGCTTTGTTGGTTCCCAGAATCGTGTTGATTGTAATTGATAAGACGGAGTTCTTGTTTTCAGCAGTTTTTTTAATATTTATATCTATTTTTTTTATGTCCATTTTAACATTCACCGAATCAAAGTGTATCCATTTTTTACCATCCTTCATTGTATATCTGAATTTTAAAACTACGTCTGCTGTCACATTATCTGTAATATAATTAATTTTTTTTATTATTTGATTCGTTCTTTTCCTTTTTTCTTTTTTTTTTTCTTTTGCATTGAAGACAGTTTTTTATGACTCTAATTAGCTACTTTTAAAGAATTCATTTCTTTTTTTTTTTTTTTCTAAAAATAAGTATACTTGAATCGTCGATAGTTTTAATGTTAAATAATATGGTATATGTTATAAAAAAATATTTTGTAGAAAAGATAAGAAAATTTGAAAGAAGAAGAAGAAGAAGAAGAAGAAGAAGAAGAAGAAGAAGAAGAAGAAGAAGAAGAAGAAGAAGAAGAAGAAGAAGAAGAAGAAGAAGAAGAAGANAAGAAGAAGAAGAAGAAGAAGAAGAAGAAGAAGAAGAAGAAGAAGAAGAAGAAGAAGAAGAAGAAGAAGAAGAAGAAGAAGAAGAAGAAAAATTAACAAACGGGAGTTTAAAAAGTATTACGTGGGTGGGTTGAAAGGTTTCGAGCTTTAACGTTAGAAACAATTTATCATCTCTTGGTCAATCTAATTTTATTAAAAAAAAAAAAAAAAAAAAAAAAAAAAAAAAAAAAAAAGTAAATGAAAAATATGATAAAATATTAAAAATATTTACGTGCGAATGCTTTAAGTGTTTCCCTTCCTGTTATGGGTACTACAATTTTGGTATAAAAATTACAATCAGATTCGATTAACAACGTTTCAAATTTGAAATTTCCATGAAAATATTTTTTCTTCAAATCCACGTCAAGTTTTGGTAATTCGAAAGCATGCACCCCATAAATCATCGCTTTTTTAGAAGAAACAATGAAATCGGTTTGATTTACAAACGAAATGTTATTCAAGACAAAAGTTTTAGTCGATGGAACATTGAATTCTGGCATTCCTTCTGCTAGCTTTTCACGAAGTGCCAATATACTTTTTCTTGCACATTCCGAAAAATTTGGATTCCTTCGACCGCATACGTGAATGTACGATGCTGTGAAATACGAAAGAATATATTATTTTTTTATATTTCACTGTAGTCAATAGAACGTCTTTTTTTTTTTATCCGTGTTGTCTTTTTTTAACGACAATTACATGAAAACAATAATTGTATTGTAAAATTAATTCAAAACTTTTGATTCTTTTTGATTTATGATTTTTTTTGTTCTAACAAATCAAAATTATATGAAAAAAAAAAAAGAAAATAAAATCAATTATTAATTCGATTCAAAATCTGTTTATAATTTTTTTTTTTCGTTCAGATACTCACGAATTTTCGACGTTGCGATAGTAATCAAAAGGAAAACGACAAAAATTTTGACAAACATTTTTTCTGATATACTTTTTCGAATTTTTAAGAATTAACCTTTAAATGAGATTTTTTTCTTAACGAAAGAGAAAGAAAATAGATCAACGTGTGTTAAGTAGTACTGGTAATAAGTTAGACTGCAATTTTTCTGTTCTCTTTCTCTCTATATATACATGCATTTTGAAAACCTTACCTAATATTTTTTATCATCAAAGTTGACGGTAATAATTTTACAAAAGATCGTAACACTCGCCTATTTTCTACCTTTTTTAATTAAATTTTAATTTTATGCTAATTCTTTTTACATAACTTAGCATATATAAATATAGTTCAAATATATAGGTCAAATTGATTAAATTTTAATATTATCTTTCCTTATTATTCTTGTTTTTTTTTTTTCTATTTAATTTATATTTGCAATTAGGGGGAAATAAGTTTCATAATAATTTTCTTGAAAATATGTTTTTAAGAATACATACTTTGATTTTTTGTAATTATATAATAATACGTATGTTTCATGATACTAATTATTATTATAATATAATAATAATAATAATAATTATACATATTTAATAACAGTATTAATTATTCGATCGAACGCGGGGGGTAAATGTGGGAAGAGTTTTTTTTTAGTTTATTTGGAATGTTTCTTATAGCCAATTTAGAACTTTCATAATTATATGCTAATATTATTAATCGAATCTGTCAATGATGATTCATTGCGTTTGACAGCTGAAAAATTACAGAGTAACTAAAAAAGAAAAAGAAAAACAAAATATTGGATTGATTCAAGGATTTTCAAACTAGAAATGTAAATGTTAACCGATCACTTTGATTGACCAATAATTCGAAAAATTGATGAACAGAAATCCATGAAAAAGATCAGCACCATTAATACTGGTGATGTAGATAAGAAATAAAACATCATGCACGAAATAGTTTTAAATCATTTGTATAAGGTCGAATGTTAAATATGAAAAGAAGAAAAAAATACAGAGAAAAAACTTGTTTCACATTTGCATGAAAATATTACTATTATTATATATTAAATAAAGAATTTTTTTTATCCTACCTAATATTATTTACGTAAGTGGTATGTATAATAAATTACATGGAGATATATAAAATCATGAAATTTTGATCCTGTATTGATGAAATCAATAATCTTTGTTCAATAAAAAAAAAAATGTAGCAAATTTTCTTATAAATATATGTTACATTTTTTTTTTCTTGTACTTTAATGTGCATATGTGTGCCTGTGTGTGTGGTAATGTTCTATATTTTATTTATAATACATTTAACATCGTATCGTTTCGTATCTCTTTCTCTCTTTTTTGTTGACTGTTCAAAGATATTCAACATTTTTATGAAATTTGAAAATCATAAATATTATAAATTATTATATATCAATTATAAAATATATATTTGATAAAATTTGTATTTTATGCAAAATATTTTAATATATAAAATATTTTATCTATAATAATATTAAAATACAATTAATATTTAATATTTATTTATTAATATTTTAATTTGATATATAAAATTTCTTATTAAAAATTAATAATATTAATATATAATATCGATGAATAAAATTACATTTTTATTATTATTATTTTTATTATTATTTTAAAAAATATTCACGTAAATTGTTTATTTATTTTACACAATATTAACTAGAATATTAGAAAAAATACAAAAACAAAAATGTAAACCAAATAAATATCAACCTTATGGAATATCGATGAAGTATCAGCTTTAAAACCGCTGAAAAATAATGCGGTTTTAACAATTACGATTGCAATATTATTATTTTACTGATTAGAATGATCAAATGCAATTGATTTCATTTGATGTAATATTACGAATGTTTACTTTTATCCCTCTTATTCCCCCACCATTCCCTACTAAGAGTTCTATGAGATCTAACTTCTTCCTTCGTAATGAGCTAATCCTTTTTTTTTCGTTTCTATTTTTGAACAAAAAAAAAGATATATTCCTAGTAGGAAAATAGTAATAAGATTACACATTTAGACAGGAGAAAAGAATGTTCAAACTATTCGCAACTTCTATTGCCAGAAATGGCATTCGTACTTAGCGAGAAATAGAAAGTGTAGTAGAGAAACCGTTTTTCTATCCTTTTATTTTGCTTCTTCTCTCGTTACAAATAAATTACAAGTTACGTTTCTAAGAAATTGAACTTTTCATTTCTAAAAGAAAATTATATGTATACATCTTTAATTAAAATATGAAAGATCCTATCAAGAGTCAAAAATTGAAGGTTATAAAAGAAAAAGAAAATGGAATCATTTGATTTACCATTAAACAATTGAAAGATCAATAATAATTAAATGATCAGTATAGAAAATAAGTAAAAATGATTTAGAAAGAGAAATGAAATAAATATAAAGATGAACGAGTATTTTGATGAAGTAAAGAAAAAAAAAGAATTGTACAAATAGTGTGATGAAGAGAATGGGTGGGGGTAGGAAAGAAGGAATAACAAATAGAATAATTAAATCATAAATTTAATAAAAACACAAATCGAATATATTAAACTTTACTGTTCAAAATAAAAAAAGGAAATGAATACAAAAGAATCTCCTAGAAAGTAAATAAGATAAAAAGACAGGCAGAGATAAAGGGGAAAAAAATTGTTTGCGTATGAATGAATTTAAAATTAAAAAAAAAAAAAAAAGATGAATTATAATTATAGTACGACAGGGTGGAGTAGGGTAAAATAACAGGATAGGAGGGGATGATATAGGATAGAGGGGGCCAATGAAAAAGTTGATTCTTGTTACTAATATATACATTCTCTAATAGTTAGGAGGGATATTACAAATATGAACCAATAGCCATCAAGTAGCACGAGGTAATCAAGTGTGTTCGAATGTAACAGCAGAAGAATTTCACTACGTCGTTCCAGCTTTTAAACATGCTATGATGTTACCAGCACGATAACCAACAGCATCATCATTATCATACTTGTAACCTGTGCGTACAAATCGATCAATCTGATTGATCTGATCGATCAATTGATTTAGTCTTCGTTCATCAAGTGATTATTTTATACCAGTTTTCTTTATGTTTAATCAATTTTGGGGTAATAATTGAAGGGTGATTGTTAATATTATCAAATTGTACAAATTTTTATCAAAGTTTTTCTTCACAATGGTTCGTAGTGCCAATATTTTTATCGGACTCTGGTACGTTTATTTTAATATACCTACATTCTTTTTTTTTTATAATATTATTACAATATTTCTTATTGTTCGTTTGTATCTATTTATGACGATGATGATGATTTTTATTATCAATTTGTATTTTACATTTTGTAATTCTTTGCGTTTTATTTCTGTTGTTGTTTATTGTTGGTTTGTTATTTTTTAAATCTTTTTTATGAATTATTTGGTTACTATGGACAGGTACATTTTTATTTTTTACGGTTAACAATTTTACGTTACGAGCGGATATAATGTTTCTTTTTTGTTTTTTATATGATCGCGAGAGATCGATGAAAGTTGTGAACGCGAATGTGAAGAAAAAAGAAAATACAGGAAGTATAAGTATAGAAGTAATTCGTTAAAATATTAATCTTATTTATCTCTAAACAACAATTATAAAACTTGTTTTATTGATTAGTAATAAAAAAAAAAAAAACCAGTAAGGAAAAATAACAAGAAAAAAAAAACAAAGGAAACTTATAACAGACGACATTAATGAAAGTGTAAGTGTTAATGATACGAGTTAAATCGTAATTAAACATTAATGATTAAATTTTGTTCCAAGTTGCTACAGATGAGAAGTATTTAACAAGTAAAACGTATTTTTGTTTACAGATATTTAGCAAATATTTTTCCTTATCCTTGTAAAGTATACTCGTACATTAATGTGATCGATTATTCAAATAAAATATTGTGCTACTTCAATAATAACTACAGAGTAAACAAGTGATTGATTTTAATAGCTTACGTACGATTAGAATAAATAAAACGATTATACTAAAAACGATGTATATATATATATATACTTAAATGCACGCGAAAATCAACTATACTAATCACTTTCTCTGACTTGTGTTATTTAATTTTCATTAACATGTATGTAATAATTTTTAGTACAAACATCGATTAAACTTATTATTTTTCTCTGATTTAAAAAATAAAAAGATTAAAAAAAAAAAACTGACCATGTGTATTTTTAAATAATATAATAATACATGTGTAATGAGAATTGGAATTATTTAAATTTTTATTGCAACATATTGAATTAGATATATATGTAATAAAACCGGTTTGTGATTAGTTGGAGTATTTTATAAAAATATGTAAGAGATTTTAATTTTCTTATTATTTTATTAGTATTTTATATATATAAAATTTATATTTACATATTAATATAAATTTTATATATTAAATTTATATTTAATTATTTAAATATATTATTCAAATATTATATATTATATATTATTATATTTTATTATTTAAATATAAATTTAAATAATTTAAACTTATATTTATATATTTGTATATAGAATATATGTAAAAATTATTGTTTTTTTTAAATTTTATTTATTTTTGCCGGTACTTAGTATAAGAAACGCAAAAAAATATGCCGGCTGCTAATGTATTAATAATAAAACATATAAATTACCAAATAATGAGATGTTTATGTAATATTAGGCTACTTAAATATTGAAAAGAAAAGTATTATAAAATTCTAAAAAAATTACTGTACGTCTTACAATTAGTAGACAAAAAAAAAATAACAAATCAACAACTAAGTCACGTTGTATTACAACATGTGCCTGGAATAAACACGTTTCTATTCTATATATTCACGTTGCATATATACGAATACATAAATGAATGGGTGACTTGTAAAATAAAAATTTTTGTTTAGGAAATAAATATGTTAATAGAGAATGTGACACGATTCTATAAAAAGAAAGAATGAAAGTGACTAATTAATTATTAAATATACATATTCTATCTACTTAATGGTTTTAAAAATATTTAAATATTTTTTGTTCAAAATAATAATAAGAAAATTGAAATATTGTTAATATATACAACATAAGCACACGTATATATATATATTTATATAAATATTTTTCATTTGTTTCAGTTTTGTATTGACTTTATTCAGAGATGTCGTTTGTGCAATACGTAAGTATAAATTAAAAAAAAAAAAACACATATAAAAAACAAAAAATAGAACAATAGAAAATTATCTTGAAATAATCAAGAAAACTTGACCGCAAATAATAATAACTAGCTAATGTACTTTCTCTATATATGTAAATATTACAATAGTAACAATACAGGAGTAATCATTAATCATAAGAATGATCTAGATGGTGAGGCTACCTCGTAAATTATTAATGTTACGAAAATGACCTTAATATCAATGTTGCATCGAGAACAATCTAAGAAAGAGTTGCATGATTGATAATTTTTTTTTTGCCCAGATGATTAGAAATGTTCCATTTATCATAAATCTTGTCATTCTATCTTTAATGTAGCATTTACAAATGTTCTTAAAAAAGTTAGAACGTAAGAATAAAGTTTCTTTTTATATTTAATTATATATTATATTTTACATTTATATATTTAATGTTTATTATAATATTTGTTTAAGAACGGATAGGTATAATATATCAAAATGCTACGATAAGAATGGAAATTTAACAAAAACATCTTTTAAATTTATAAATCAATAAAGAAGCTTCATTGTTTTTTTTTTTTCGTATTTTAATTTGTTTTTAAAACATGCAAATTTACTCATGTTATTCTATTTTTATGTTTATATTAAAACGTGAGAAAATAGACTTCAGATTCATGACTTTGATAAGAAAACATGTATAGGCAAAAAGACAAAAAAAAATGATGAATAATGAATTTAAATAATCACAATTGTTTATCACAAGAATGCATTTGATGAGTTTGTTTTTTATTAAGTATTACATACATAAATGGTAATTTTGATGCGTAAATATTTCCTGTGCAATTCGCGTTAAAACATTATTATGTTTTTCAGCACCATACATAAAAATATGTAACAGGCACGATCCAAAAATAAACGATTGTATTTTGGATTCGATCAACCAACTTCATGAAAAACTAGCTATAGGAATTCCAGAACTTGATGTTCCACCATTGGAACCATTTAAATTAAACGAAATTCGATTATTGAGAGGACCCAATGCTGCAAAACTTGACGTCAATCTAACTGATCTTCAAGTAAATTTAACAACATTTTAATTGATATTTATTTTTAATCGATAAACGTTAAATATTCTTATCAAAATTTATAATTTTCTCAATTTTCAATTTAAATTCAATCAGTTATAATTAAAATGATATATCAAAATATAGGTAAATTAATATATTTCCAAATGAACTAATTTAACTTTTTCTAACAATTAAATTAATTAATAATTATTAATTTGTCTTATTTGTATTAGGTATGGGGAGCATCAAAATTTGTTCTATCAGATTTGACAACAAATGTCGATGACGTAATATTCACATTCAGACTACACTTTCCAGTGCTCACTTTTAATGGAAAATATCAAATAGATTCTAAATTACTTTTGTTGCATCTTTCTGGAGATGGAGATTTAGATGGCAGCTTCAGTACGTTATATTTCATTTCTTTTGTTACTAGCAAGTCATATATATGAATAATTCATGTAAAAAATCACTATGAACAACCAAGACTCAGATAAGTGTTCGAATGAACAAATTTATTTAGAAAGATACTCACACTTAAAACAAACCGTAACTAAATCATTACATATCATAAATTTTTGTTTTTAAATAATTCGAATTATATCATGTTTTTTGTTTTTTTATTTTTACAGATGACTACGATTCGAACATTGTATTAAAAGGACAGAAAATTCGTCGAAACGATAAAATTTATGTACAATTCGAAAAAATGAAAATAAAAATCAAAATTGGCAATGCGAACGTTTATCTCAAAAATTTATTCAATGGTGATCCAGTATTAGGTAAGAATCAAATCAAATAAAATTTAAATAATAATAATAATAATAATATCATTATCATTATTATTATTATTATTATTATTATTATTATTATTATTATTTAAATTAAAATAAAGAATCACATTTACAAATGAAAATTAAGAAAAAATGATTAACGATTTTGTATCTTTTTGATTTAGGAAAAATCAGTAATGATGTTATCAAAAGCAATAGTGGATTATTGATAGATGAGATTAAACCAGAACTTGAGAAATCATTATCTACTGTGCTAACCAATATTGCGAATAAAGTTGTCGAAGCTTTTACGTACGACGAACTGTTTCCAGTAAATTAATTAAATTCTAGAAATAATATAGAAATTAATGAACTTTTATTATGTTCGATTAATAAATTAATTAATGAAATGATTAATTAAACGTTAAAAAACATTTTACAATATTCAACAATATTCTGAATACTTTTTACGAATTCATAAACTATATAACAATTATAAAAAAAATATATAATATGATTAGATATATATATATCTAATCATATTTATCATGGAAGTAGTGAAAAAAAAGAAAAATAATGATGAATTAGGGCAATAATTCAGCTTTGGTAAGAACACTGAGTGCACGGGTTGCTAAAGCATTGCTAATAGTTGCAGCTGTGTCCTCGATGATAGGACTTGCTATGTCAAGTACTAATCGTGGATTAGAATTGAAGAACGTTGCTGCTGCATTCGCTAAAATAATAATAATAAATAATAGAAACATTTGATTTAACATTGATTTTTAAACGAATAGAATAATTAAAATATATATATATATATATAATATAATATAATTCAATATAAATACTTCGATTATTCTAATAATACAAATTTCTAATTACCAGCAACAGTATGAGAAGGTGGTGTCTTTAATTTAATATTTCCATGGTCAACACGAATTTTGGTACTTAATCTATCAATTTCCAATCTTTGTACACCATTCTTGTCGGTAACTTCTTTACCCTTTGCGTTAACTATTGCCTCGGTATTGGCTAAAATACAAAATCGAACAAATAAAAAAAATAAAAAATAAAAAGACAAGTAGGGAGTAGTATTATTCATTGTATATTGTATATTCTTTTATGAAAATAAATAAAACATATAAACTTACTGAAATTTCCTTTGAAATTGCCAGTACCTTTCAACGGTAATAAAAATAATCTACCCTGAACATCGTAATCACCCCTGACATGTATGTGAGGTAATTGTACTTTTAACGTAACCGTTAAATCATTGGGATTTGCTTTAAGTTCTTCTAACAAAAAATTCGTAGCACCGTAAACATGAATTTGGCTCATATTAGCCTTGATCTTAAGCGCTTCCAAATTTCTATCAACCGTTAGAGAAGGTAGTAAAAGTGGATCCAATGGCGGTAGTTTCAAGGACGGTATACCTTTTGCCAAATATGGTACAATAGCTTCCACTTGTTTTAATACACATTTGTTAAAAATTTGAAGATCCGTTGTTGTTGGACATCCCGTTACACCAGCAGCTAAAATAATAATTATTATTAAATTAATTATTTAATACGTGTATATGATTTATTATCAATTATTTATTACCAATGATTTCAAATGTTAAATGTAAAAAGAATAATAAGTTGTTTCTTAACAAAATACATGATTCATCATAGTTTACATATCGAAAGTGAACGCATAGAAAGTGATATTGCTAGTTGAAAATCTTTGACATTTCTTTTTGCATTTTATATTAAAGTTTATTTTTTTTTTTGCGTAAAAACATCTAATTATTGGATACTTGTGTATGTTATATATAATATGTGTATTCATGAACGTGATTATTCACATAGACAAATATGAATGATAAAAACGTATTTGCAATATATGCAAATGTTCTATGTTGCAATTAAAGTTTTTCTATCGTTCAATGTAGAATGTAACGTGACGTTTGTTAGAAAGGAACGCCTAAGGGCATTGTTCTGAATTAGAAGAAACACTTTCAAAATTATACGACTTTTCTTTTGATCATTCTTCTTCACATTTACTTTTCGATAAAAAAGAAAATAAAAAAGAGAGAGGAAGAGTTGTAAATGAAATGTTAAGAATTCATAAAATTCATAGAAAAGAAAAACAACTAAAAAGAATTGTAATTTGATAATGCTGTAATAAATTAAAGTGACACATGTACAAAAATCATCGAATGTAAAAAATGCAAAAACGGAAAAAGAATACGAAAAAAAGTAGAATTTATTTTTATTACTATTATTATTAATAGTTTATATGTATAATACTATTTAAACTAGTAATATTACTATTTTAGTATAAATTAAATATACTAGTTTACAGAGTAAACAATAATAAATTGTTTTAATGATATTATATACTTAGTATATAATATATATACTTGTAATATTAATATTATTATTTTATTGTATTATTTTATTATTAATATTGCTATTACTTATATATATATTTATTACTTTCACGAAATCCTAGGGTTCGTTCTCGTTACAATATTTAAAAAAAAAATTCTTACAATCTATCCACATATAAAAAATCTATTTTTATATCTTAAACATCTATATATAAATATTATAATAAATAAAATAATTATATATAAAATAATAATTATATTATAAAATAATATTAATTTAATACTTATAAAATTATATTAAATAAAAATCCATTTTATCCATTTTTTCGTAAATATCTTTAAATTATTTAAAATATATAAAATATATAAAAAAAAGAAAAGAAAAATATATAATAATATATTTAAATGTTACTTACGTAATTCGGCTTGTACGACACTCGATGAGATCGTAAAAATTGTTGTTAATAATCCTACGAGTATTGTCATCCTTCTATGAAGAATTAAACGAGGGTCTATAATGATCTTTGGTCCAGGTGAATTTAGATCTCTTGGTTCGTTCTCGCGTATATTTATGTGTCTATATGTATATGTATATGTGTTTATATATATATATCCATATATATGTGTGTATCACAATTAGTGAGAGCGATATTGAAAATGCGTACGATGGCCCCTGTGCACGGGTATATATAAACTAAGTAGACTTTCTCCAGGTATATAATGCCCCACTCAATGCAATAGTAAATTTATCACGGTAGAATGGCTTCTTTTTAAACTTTGTCAGGGCCGTAACAAGCATACTATTAATTTATGATAAATAAACCTTTGTATCTCTTTTACATTATTTCAATTGCTTAAACGTATAACAGTTTTGTATTATCAATTATTACGATTTATTTATTCTTTTATTATTTCAATTATTTATCATTATTATTATTATTATTATTATTATTATTATTATTATTATTATTATTATTATTATACATATAATAATGATAAATCATGATTTTTAAATAATTAATTATTTGCATCATGAACAATTATTGATCATCGTTTTTATATGCTTCGATTAATTATTCTAATCAGTTATAATTTATTATTGAATTTTTTTTTAATTGAACAATTATATAAGAAGTTAGGATCAATGATAAAGTTAATTAATACCTGATCGTGATATCTCACGTATACTTTCAAATAAAATAAAAGAAAAAAGAAGGAAAATAAAAAAAATTTTAAATGATTTCCATATGTTCGTTTGCATATTCGTTCATCGTTCTAGAAAGTTTAGATTAATTATAATTTTCAATATTTTTGTGTTTCATGTTTTAAGGGATACATGTATACGTTGGTAGAATATTATGCATTCTGTGATTTTTTTTTATTGTTATATTTAATATTTAAGTTTTTTTTTTTATTATTACTCTGTAGAAGTTTGCGTCGGTGGAATTTCTAAGACTATAATTTTCTTTCCTGATAAATCGATAGTAGCAAGATCATCGAGCTAAGATTACAACTTTCTTCGTTCGTGAAAGGGGTAAAGAACACAGCGAAAGCGATTTGTACGAATTGATTTGTCATATGGTGAAACACACCTCATATTTAATATCTTCAGATTATTCCAAAGAAATCGAAAAGATTAAAAAAAGAAAAGTAATAGACAAATACAAATTATTTTAGGATAAAATGGAAAGTTTATTTAAATTAGGCAAATAGAAAATATATATGCCAAAATGTGTAGAAAGAGAAAAAGAATTTTTTTGTTTACTAATACGTTGATTATAAATGTGTTTCAAATTAATACAAGATAGGTGTATACAATTTTTTTATACATATATAAAAAAAATTATAGATAAAGAGAAGAGTTATTTTTTTTTGTTCATATGACGTATTGCAATTCATTATTTTTTTTTTTATTCTATCCTTTGAACATTGTTTGAAAATTATAATGATCATTGAGTACGCTGACAGGTATTAAGTTAATCACACTAATGTCCTTCTACGCAATCGTTTCCTGCGTAATACGCTTTCAAAATATGTTAGTAGATACATGCATGTTGTATGTAATTCACTATAGTTCATATGTTCTTTGCACATCCTACTTTAAATATCTATTATAAGTATTATATATATATATATATATATATATATATATATATATATATATTGTTTCACTTGGCTAATTCTAATTAAACGATAATATCATTTTATTTGACGATCAAATTGTTAGATTATTTTTTCATACTTGATAATTACATTATATATACCAAGTTAATTAGTTATTAATAATTGAAATAAATACATACGTTTATATAAGTTTCTTTTTATTAGTTAGAATAAAATTGTTTTTTTAATATGATATTTGTATTATGGATAATTTGTTTTACCATGAGAAAAATATTTATAATAATAATAATAATAATAATAATAATAATAATAATAATAATAATAATAATANAATAATAATAATAATAATAATAATAATAATAATAATAATAATAATAATAATAATAATAATAATAATAATAATAATAATAATAATAATAATAATGTACAATGTATTTTATATATATATTAATGAAATTAAAACTAGATATTATTAATAATAAAATATTTAAACATATAATTATTATATATTAATACTAATACAGAATAATTTGAAAACAAAAGATGTTATACAACGTGCAAATTAATGTAAATATGTGTACTTGTGTGTGAACCTCTAAGTAGCTTTTAAATAAAAAAAAAAAACCAACAAAAAAAAGAAAACGCAATTCTGTGAATAAATATGCATTGAATATTATGCAAATTTGATTCCAGTAAAAAATTCATTCTTCTCATAAGTTTATATGAATTTTCATTAAATTTATTCTAATACGAGTAAAATTGATTAATAATATAAATAAATAAATAAATAAATAAAATGTTAAAAAGCCAAAGATCAATTAATACGAAATTAATAAAGCAAATAATAATAATAATTATGTCGAGTAATGTTGAGTAATTGTAATGATAATAGTAATAGATAAAAAAAAGCACCTTTATATATGCGTGTGACGTAGTCACAATTAATTAACCATTGGAAGATCATTATACATTCGGTAAACCATGGCATCGGCTGTTTTCTCACTAAGTGCCTTAGTTGTCAAGTCATCTGCAAGCATTGCTGCAACTGCTTCGGCAGCCATTAAACCTATGTGAAAGAAAGTTAAATATGAATAAATGATTAAGTGTAGTAAGTAACTTTGTTATGATGATGTATCATCATTAAATTCAATCTTTTATAAAAGTGAAAAAAACTTTTACTATAAAGATCAATCCTAGCGAACTTCTCTATGATTTATTTTATTTTTTTTATTTTCTTTTATCAATTTCAAAAAGAAAAAAAAATAAATAGCTTTTGTGCGAAACCAATAAATCTATATATATTATTAATAAATTAATAATAAAACAATAATATATTTTATTTTAATTTGTATCAGAAAAAATTGTTTAATTTAATTATTTGGAACAATTTATTCAGTCGCGAAAAAAAAATAGTAATTTCGAAAATAGACAAATGAAATCTTGATGAAATAAAGTTTACATGTATGTACATTAAGGAAGAAACTTTTTCTATGTCTCCATAAGTATTACATATATATATATATATCTACGTAAGTATCACATACATAGATCAAAATTACGTAATTATTGGCTCGCGTAATAGAAGTTTCATGTAGTTCGTTGTACAAGTCACAACCGTATAGGATTTCCATTCGATAATCGATATATGAATGTACACCTCAAGGAGCACAAACTGGCTATTCAACGAACTTTCGTTTCTGGAATTTCCTTTTCACTTTATTCATTTAGATCGAACTGTTACCTTGCGTTAAGATTGATTTTACTGGTCCTTCCTCGTCCATTCCTTGAAGATTGATATTTTTGTCTTTTGCTGATAATTTGGCTCTGGTTGCACGTACTATCATAGAATCGTTTGTACCTTTCTTCAATTCTACCGTAAAATCACCATGAAGTTCGGCTATGATCAAAATAAAATGATAATAATAATAATAATAATAATAATAATAAAGAAATTAATATTGTAAATAAATTGATCTGTTTTATCCAAGTTAATTCCAATTTGTTAATCCATAATTTTTCTAGTGTTGTACTTTAAGTCAAATAATTTTTGTAATCTTAAATATTGTTATATATTAAATGCTAATAATATTGGGTTGGCAAGAAAGTTATTTCGGTTTTCTAATTCGGTTTTCTAATTCGGTGAAATAAAACTCAATTGTTTCTATACAAAAAATAAACTTGAAATTAAATAACTAAATTTTATTAACTTTCTATACAAAAAATGAACTTTAAATTAAATAACTAAAAAATGTTAACATTAACAAAAGATTAACGAAACAAACATAACGCTATTTATTGGTATAAGCTGAAATTACTTTCTTGCCAACACAGTATTATCAAATAAATTAGATTTAGAAATTAATTGGAATAAATTTCCATATATAATATTTTTATTCTTATTTTTATTAAATCCTAACAATATTATGTTGGAATCTTAAAGAAATAGGCTACGAAAACCGTGAATGGTGGGGTCGCGCTCAGAGATGAGAACACTAGCCGGATTTGGTATTTGCGGCAATGAACTTTCGAGTTCCTAATTCCAATTAATAATAATAATAATAATAATAATAATAATAATAAAATACTAATCAGTTAAATTTTTATTTTGTTGAGTTAATTTAAATATTTTTCAAGTTATATTTAGATATAGTCTAATGACATAAAAAAACAATATTATCCAAGTGCAATATCAATTATTAATTATAAATATAAGATTATTATTTAAAAAATGCTTAAATAAAAAAATAAAGACAATAATAATTAAAACTTACTGAAATTTCCAGCGAGTAATCCGTTCCCTCTTAAAACTTCTTCTCCTACTTTTCCCGTTAGCATGTATTCAGACTTTATACGAAGAAGTGGAACATGTATTCGCATGATCACGTGCATCACGTCGTCCTTGTGAAAGAAGATCTCTTTTTATTATTATATATATGTATGTATCTTTTATACAGCTATCGTTACTTATAATTAGATCTAAAACGAGTAGATTATAATACATAATAATTAATAATTTAATAACCTCTGAATCATTCTCCGGATGTGCACGTTTAACTCGTTTCATTTCTTTTGATTCATTTCCCATTCCACCATAATGATATATCAATTCCATACCCTCTTCGAAGTAACCTTCTTTTTCTCCATAATTTGCCGCATATCTTGCCAGATCCTTTAATCTTTTAGCTTCTAATGCTGCCTTTACACGATCGTTCTTTTTAGTTAATGATTCACCTTCGGTAAAATTATGAACTAATATTCTTCTATTATCACGAATATCCTATCAATAAATACATCAATATTATCTTAATAAAGAAATGAATTATTAAAAGAAAAATATATACTATATATATTTATAATAAAATAATAAATAATTATATACCCTCATAACATCCTCAAATCCATAAACTTTTGTTTCTCGATTAGCCTGTAATTTCATATTACCAAAACGTTTCACACCACTTGAATTTTTCTCATCAGCATAAACAATATCAATGTAACCTGGTTTATTTTCTAATCTTTGATCAGTTGATTTAATCGATTCCGATCTATGAGACATTCTTTTTATTTTTCCTTCAACATTGTCACTTTGTTGAGAATTTTTACGTTGATCAGCACCATAATACAATGAACCTGATCTCTCAGTTGATTGTTCTAATCTTCCTTCATTTCCATTTCTTTGATAATCCCTTCGTTGCTCAGCGTAATAAGATGAACCTGATCTTTCATTTGATTGTTCTAATCTTTCATCATTATTATTTCTTTGATAATTCCTACGTTGTTGATCAATCGAATACGATGAATCTGAACTTTCAGTGGATTGTTTAACATTTTCACCAACATTTCCATTTCTTTGATAATCCCTACGTTGATTGGCGTACAAAAATGGGCTTGTTCTTTCAATTGGTTGTTGCAATTTAATTTCTTTGTTATCTGCAGCTGATGTATGCAAATCATCACTTTGACTAGGATTTAATTTGGACGTTTGAAAATTTCCTTGATCTACGTTCGATCTTGAACTTTGCCTTGGATCGGAAGAATAATCATAACAATCCGGTACGTTTTTATCATCTTTTTGATAAGTTTCATGATTTATTTTTGTGTTCTTTGAACTTTGGGCGTAAATCACGTGAACGCTGGAAGGATATTTCGATTTATCGTCAGTTGAACGATGACTCTCCAATCTTTCTTCGATTTTAAGATTTCTCAAATAAGCAGAATCTGTTGTAACTTCGTCTAATTTTTCTTGAGATTCTCGATAATGGCGTTCTTGTAATTGAGATAATTGTTGTTGTTGTTGTTGTTCGTAATTATGAGAATTACTCTCAGCTGATTTCTCTGAATTCGAATATCGTGGTAGATATTCGGTGATTTGTTCAAACTTAGACGAATTAAATGCACTCGTAGCAACCGCCACATCTTTGTTTTCTTTTCTCATGTTATTGACAACTGTGTGGAATTTGTATCTGATTGATTCGAGATCCCCGAGATCGCTGTAAGTTACAAAACCAGCTTCCAAATCGCTCAAATTCGATCTTAATTTACCACGAGCCACTTGAATACTTTCTACAGTTGAATCGTTTAATCCTGAAATTTCGATATTCCTTAACACCATCCTGTAACTCGTGTTACCTTCGGATTGATCAACTTTTACCATTGGAACTCTCAATGGATCCAATTGGCCAACTTTTGATAAACCACCTGCTAATAATTTAGACCACATCGATTGTGACAATTCCAATAACGAACAATTAGTTATTGTTATCAGATAAAATCCGAAAAATATTTTCAAGTATTTCCACATCTTGTATTTTTTTTTTATTTCTTCTATCACCAAATTAAAAGATTGGTTTTTTTGTTTGTTTGAGTATAATGAATTTATTTCAATTTAACGATGAACTATAATTTTACGATCATAATCAATCGAAACGTTGGTAGGTTTATAAACCAGCATAAATACGATGGTTACGATAATAATAATTAATAATATTATTGATACAATTGTGCAGATAAATTTGAGCGGTTGAGGATAACGCGTTCTAGTTCTCTCGACGAGATCAATCGAAACGATCGATGGATCTCTCGAGGAACATTTCTGAATCCTCGATTGTTGATAATCAATGTTGTATCTCCGATAATTTTAGAAATACGATTGAAATAAAGAAGAAGATGTACGTACGATAGAAAAACACTAAATGCAAGTGTTCGATACTTCTACGAGCTATTTTTATAGGAGACCGTGGAAGGGCATATTAACTGGGCCATGGACCAGTCATTCTTGACATGTCGATCTTGGTCAGCAAAAGGATTCTCTTTTTTTTTATCTTTTGGAAATTGTTTCCTTAAGTCATGCAGTAATCGACTACACAATATAGAGAGCAAGGTTACCGATCGAGTTCCACAACAATGTCTGAGGTAATTAATTAGAATTTTAATTACTAAAAGAATAATTGTTCGATTATTTTCTTTTTTTTGTGTCGATGTGTCTTTTGAACTAATTCATTTTAAAACGAATATTAAATATGTACGAAATATTTATTAAAAAATTTCTTTGTTTAATGAATGATTTATTTCGTACTTTATTGGCAATCGATTTATTCCTATGATATTGAGAGTAAGGTTACCAATTGAGTTTTATAATTAATTAATTATAATTATTTATTAATTTTTTTTGTTATAAAATTATTTAATTTTAATATTATGGTACGAATAAAACGTGGAATTTAAAGAGAAAAAAAATAAGAAAGAAAGAGAATTCTGTAGTACAGTTGCACGACTGCGTTATAGAGATCAAGGTTACCGATCGAGTTTGCTAGTAACGTCTAGTTAATTTAGTCAGAATTAATTACTAACATGGTTAAAAATATTTCATCTTTTCTCTCTCTTTTTTTCTTCCATTTTGTAAACATAAATTGGGTGAGTTGATTGACACGAATAACGAAAAAAAGAATAAAAATGATGAAACATAAATACGTAAGAGATTTTTAAAGAAAAAAAAAAAATTTCATTAATCAGCAAACAATGTAGGTCAAATAATTTTCGTCGGTCATTTATTAGCTCGATTTCGAAGAAAGAAAAAATCATTTCGTTAGGAAAATCTTGATCAACACGATGAAGAATTCGATAATATTATTTTTGACGTTGGTTTACTGTATTTCTGGTAATAACGTACCTCAATTACGTAAGTAGAAAATACACGATTATTATTATAGTGTTATTTAATATAAAAGTAAATAAATATAAAATGTTAAAACGACGAGATTTAAATGAAATTTCTAACGCGTTAGATCACTCACTTACGATCGTATTAAACAGTGTGTGACTCAGATTCCACTTTGGTGACACGCAAGTGTGTGCCACCATAAGCGTATGTGGAACATTGAACATTCTATTATTATCAAGAAAACATTCTCGTTTAAATAGTTGTATCTATTAGAGTTTGATAAATGTTATTCATTTTACAGCATCGTTTTTAAAAATATGTCACCGAAATGATCCATATTTGAATAGATGTATTAAAGAAAGTGTGGAACAATTGAAACCATATTTAAATACTGGAATTCCAGAATTAAATATTCCACCTTGCGAACCACTTTATATCGATCGGGTAGATTTAAATCAGACAGATGGTTCCATTTTTATAAATTCCTATTTCACGGACATCAAAATTTTCAATTCATTTAATAGCAATATAAAGCAGCTCAAGTAAGTCATTTCAATGTATATAATAAATGATAATCATTATTATTAAATAATTATAAATATTAGATTGTTCGAAAAGTAATATTTTGTGTTTTTTTCATTTTTATTTTTTAAATCCAAGGTGTTTTAATTGATCATTAACAAACTAATTTGATAAATTCGACTTTTTAGCTGTTACTTAACGAATTTCTCTCTGTAAAATATAAAATTGTTCTCGCATGCGTTGCATTATTATCCTAACGGTAATAAAAATGCAAAATATGACGAAAATGCTGATTGTGATTTTTCATTTTTGATGTGATCGTAAAAAACAAACTACTTGACGGATCGAAACACAAGGAAGTTATAAATCACGTCTGAAATATCCGTTGTTATAATACAAAATAATTCTAAAGTTTTGAATAAGATTAGATAATAATAAAGGAGACTAACAAAATTTCTGTATAAAAAATTATTCTTCGAACAATCCGATATTATATTATAGAACGATATAGTATTGCTAAATTCAAAGTATCCTGATTTTCAAACTTTCTATTAAATGATTATATGCATTTATTGATTGCAACATATTTATTGAGTTGAACAGTAACAAAATTGTTTCATTTTTAATATTTTATTTCAATATAAAAATTAAATTTTGAAATAGTATAGTATTGTTAATTTCAGGTACTATAATTTCAAACTATCTGGTGTAATATTATATGTATTTATTGATTGCAACATATTTCATATGAACCAAAGATCACATTTCGTCATATTAATTAAAAAATATCTAAATCTAAAAATAACAATAACAATAAATTTTTGAATAATTAATAATAAAAGTAATTTTTGTTATCAGGTACGATGTGGAGAAAAATCAATTGAAAATAAAACAATTTGTACCACATTTCGAAATGTTATCGAATTATAATATAAACGGTAAAATTATGATGTTACCAATATCAGGGGTTGGATCAGCTTCTTTTAATTTAACCAACGTTGACTATACTTTAATGATTCAATTTGAACCTTATCATGAACCTAAAACGAATCAGAAACACTTTCGAGTTAAAAACTCGAACATCGATTATAACATACGTAACTTACAAGTACATTTAGATAATTTGTTTAACGGTGACGATATGCTCGAAAAAGCAATGAACACATTTTTAAATAATAATTGGAAATTAATTGTTGATGAGGTCAAACCTACTTTAGAAGAAACTATTCTTAATATAAATAATAATATAATAGATAAGATCTTTACGATTTATCCCATCGACACATTACTACCACCATAAGATTAGAAATTATTTTATAAAATTAAAACTAGAGTAAGTAATAAATGTATCTATATATATATTTTATTTTTAAGAAACAGATACAAGTAAGAATAGATAAATGTGGGCACTTTTTGTTCACGTTTATTTTATTTTTGTTTTCATATATATATATGTATAGTTTTCAAAAGAAATTTAATTTAATTTTTTAATCCATTAAAAATCAATAGAGAAACTAATTCTATCTCGACATTAGATAACCTTGGCTTGAAAGGCCATAAAATGAAATATATACTTTCTATTTCTGAATTTAAATAGTGTAGATATCGAAACGAATTAAAGAACATTTTTCTTATGTTTAGAATCAAATATCAATTACATACTTTAACTATTCGAATCTTAATGCATTACTTAGTTGGAGTATGTAATTCTGACTTTTTACGTACATTAACAGGATAGTATAGTTATTTCAGAGTTTAGATTATTATTTTACCAATTTCACAGAGTAACGATAACACGTATATTAATTATAAGAGTACAATAATTTAAATTTATGTATAAACTATTAATTTTCATTAATTAGTATTATTTTACGTATTTGTAGAACGGTTAATTATTCTGCAGGCTTATGCTATACATATACAAAATTTATGAGTAAATGTATTTTATTTTTATATAAATAAATGTCAATTATTATTTTAATTAATTGTTTACAGTATATGATAACATATTTGTCTGAAATATATTTTCTACTATAGGAATTAATTATATGTCTATACATTTATTGTACAAATAAATTTCAATTATTATTTTAATTAATTTTAATTAATAAGAACTAATTATAAGTCGCTTATTATTGTATGCATAATAATTGGTGGTCTTGATTTTTTATTTAGGTTATCAACAATATGTATTATGATTTTAATTAAATTTTTAAATGTCACCATTCTAGAAAACCAAACTAGAAAAAGATGTGTCCAATATGCAACAAGACGGATGAACAACAGAAAAAATAATATTTGCGTTAAATATACATTTATGTTAAACGAATGAAAGAAACCAACTCCTTTCTTGAATTTCGCAGTATTTAAGATTAAAAAAAATAAATAAATAATTAACTTTTGTCACATATTGGGATAAATATGTCCGAAAAAGAAAAATATACTTTGTATATAAATGTAATATTATTGATAATTAAATAAAAGTATTTCGCAACATTTTATTTCCTGGATCCCACATTTTGATATGTGTGAAAAGGTTAATAAAGGAGGAGTATGACAAAAGATAAATAAAATGACAAAATTTGCGTGTTATTTATGAACGCCTTACGATATGCAACACTTTAAACGTTTTCGCACGCATATTTCGGTGTTGCGTGTTAAAGAATTATTTTTAAATAAAACAACAGATGATTTTATTTCATTTCAAGAATTAATTTAGTCTGACCTTTTATTACAAATTTATGAATAGAATGAAATATTATAATTAAACAAGTTCTGATTATATCTCAGATTCGTAACACTTAAATTTAATTTATTTATTTCCCTTGATAAAATGTTAAAATATATGCAAAAAAAAAAACACCTTAAAACCTAAACGAAGAATAAAACACATTACTATTTGCATAACATGGAAATATTTTTGAGAAGTCAACAAATAATTTGGAAAGGGCAAAGCGTGTGTTTGTGAGAGAAAAAAAGAGAAAGAAAGAGAAGGAAAGAAAGAGGAAGAAGAATTTAACGAAATCAGTGTGGAAAACAACTAAGTTTGTAAAAAAGATGAATGATACATACATTATAGCAATTGTAACTATGATGTGTATTGGTTTTGTAGCATTGGAAGAAATATCGACAAAAAAAAAGGATCAAGGTAATGATTCAGAAGATATTAAAATATTATCGATTGTTTATCAAAGTGCAGCGAGTTATGTAATAGAAAAATAATATTATTTATTTTAAAAAAAATTTCTAATTATATAATTATATTTATAATTAAATTTTAATTTAATATAAATTTATAATTTATAAATTAAATATATTATAAAAAGTTTTATTTATATATTATTTATGTTATTATTATTATTATAATGTAATTATAAATATAATAAATTATAATTATTAAATTAATTTATATATTAAATTATATAAATATATTATATAAATATATAAATAATATATAAAACTATAAACTATAATAATTAAAGGTATAACTATAATTTATATAAATTTAAATTATATTTAAAAAAAAAACAAGAAAACACGAAATAAAAAATTTAAATTACAAAAACTAAAAATTCATATTTTGTATATCAAATCACATAATATTTATATTTAATATATTATTATAGATTGACATATAGAAAAATAGAAAAAAAATTTGTATTATATTATATATACAATAGATAAAACCTATCATTTAACATTAAGGAATGAACTTACAAATCGAGTCATCAACGTTCGAGAAGTTTGCACGAGGAGAATAATAATCTAATGGTTTTATATTGCAAGTAGTATTGCAGAACCTTAGTCTGACTTTTACAATAACCTTCGTGTCTCTGTTTCTTTCTCTACATTTCTCTCTCTCTCTCCTTTTTCTCTGTCTTTTTTCTCTTTCTTTGTCCCAGTCATGTAGATATTGTAATATGTACTATATTGTAATATGAAGAAGCTACCAATTTATAATACAATACTAAGAACCATATATATATTTACGATTAAAAACATGCAATACATTTTTTATACCTATTTTACTATTCTACTACATCTTTACTTTATGATTTCAGTATGACGATGATTCTAAGAAAAATTCACATGTTACTACACGTTTATCCGTAGAACAATTTTTACATACGATGAGATATTCATTGTCAGTAACAAAAAAAAAATGATTTAATGGTCTTGATTACGATCTGTTTTGTATCCATTCAAGTAAAATTATTTCAATTTATTATAATTGCTAATTTTCCATATCGATTATTGAAGACTGTGATAACATAGTTGTTAGTTGAGCTAGTTACTTGAGAAAAGAAGGAATTGTTTTTTTTCGTTTAAGATTCAAGAAGGCCAATAGTAATATGCGACAATATAATAATGCGATTATAAATAATGGACAGTCACGCAAGACGAATTTAGATAGACAATTGATCGTTCGAAATTCATGGCCAGTTCTAACATACGTGAATTTTCTATAACGTCATTTTAGTTTGACCATTGAAGAATATTTATTTTTTTTCTTCTTCCGGAAGGATTGTTTGATTTTCATCGGAAATTCATTTATTTCTTTTTTCTTTTTTTTTTTACAAATACGTTTCAGTAATTAAAAAAATAGTAAATTAAATAATAAAATTAACAAGTTATTAATTTTTTTTTCATGTTATTAATTAATTATTCTTTCATTTACATGTTTGATAACTATGCTATTATTACGATCATTTAGTATTAATATTTATATTATTTTTCCATGTTTTTTTATGTTTGAATAATTCAAATTACGTCAAACAGAAGAATAAATTATTATCTCATGTTATAAGATCTTTTTCTTTTTTTAATATAAAATATAAATATAAAAATCGTTAAATAATTTTCCTTCAACCTTTATAATCCAGATGGGTTTTTGCTCTAAATAAAAAACAAAGGAAATAATCGCGAATATCATAACATTTTAATTAGTAGTTACGTTAACAATTTATCAGTATATACATTAAATATACATATAAAAAAAATTAAATGTCATGCGTTAAAGATGCATTATAAATTTTATCGTGGAAAGATTCTTGAAAAATAAAAACATAACATTTGCATATAGTTCACAATTATATTATACAAAATGATAAACAAATGTAAAAAATAATTGCACCGACGTTATAATGTTTTTATGTCTACCTATTATTACCAATTTACGATGTGCGTTAGCATAAATTATTAATTTTTTATGCTAATTATTTAATTATTAAATTATTAAGTTTTCTTTTTCACATAACCTTATAAATAATATTTATAGGAAATCACTCGATATAATTACGTTATAAATATTATACAGAGTATTATTGAAAATATGGTCATAGCCTCAAAGTTAGATTTAGTAGGTTCAAGATATTTAAAAAAAAGTTCATAAATATTAACATAGTTTTTATTATTATTTGTTTAGAAATTGTTCGAAATGACCTCCTTTAGTACCAGGTATTATTTAAATTTATCGACAACACTTTTGAATATAACATAATATAATTCTTCAATATTGTTTATTGGTTAGTTCTAAATCTAAGATTTAAGTTTTCTCTCCAAAAAATAAAAATCCAATGAATTTAAATCAGGTAATCGTGTTGATCAATTTATTTTGATTTCACACGATCAATTCGTTTATTAAGAAGTTTCTTATTTACAAAATATCTTGCTAATCAATTAATATATAGTATTATAAAAACAGGCATGATATCATCGAGCAACATGTTTAATAATAATTCGTATAAAATTTCCATTAATAATTAAATTTTTTTTAAATAATGATTTTGTTATTCACTGTCTCAATTAGAAAAAAAAAAGAAACTAATCCGATGAAAGGTCAACAATGACATCCAGTCTGGAACTGTATCTAATTATATTCATATAATAAATTATAATATCAAGTATAAGATAAGAATTATTATTTGCATATAATTGTAAAAATCAATCTAAAATGTTATGAAAAATACCATAAGAAAAGACTATAATTCCGATAAGATATTATACCATACCTTTTTTTATTACTTATTTTAACGTGCTTAGTAAAGTACTGAAAGATAATAAATATTTGAAATCTAATTGGTAAATGTAACAATATAATTTGCTACTTTGATTTTAAATTCATTTTATCTAAATAAAAATAATAAAAAATAACAGACAAATGATTATTTCATAAATGAATACTAAATTTATTACAAATACATCGAATTAATAGCTACGTTTAATAATAAATAGTGTAAATAATTTCAATATATATATACTCAAAAATCATGAATATTTTAAATCTAATTGAAAATAAAAATAAATTTAAGATAACTTCTTTTTCTACAATGTTGGGAAGATATACGAAGAAACGAAGAGCAAGGTAAGAGTAGGGAAGAAGATAACAGAAGAGTTTTGGACCGAAAAAGGTGTGAGGCAAGGTTGCCCACTGAGCCCCCCCTCCTATTTATTATATTTATTGCGGATATAGAAGAATATTTACGAAGAGAACAGGAGGGAGGAATAACGATAGGAGGGGAAAGGATATACACCTTGGCATATGCAGACGATCTGGTGATAATAACAGAGACGGAGAAGGAACTAGAAAAAATGATGGAAAGCGTGGGGAGATATTTCAAAAGGAAGGATCTGGAATTAAATACAGAATAAACGAAAGTGATGGTATTTAGTAAGGGAAAGAGCAGAAAGAAAAGAGAATGGTTCTATAATGGGAAAGAAATAGAAGAGGTAAGCGAAATTAAATACTTAGGATATACGTTCAGATACAACAACAAGGAGGAGTCGCACATTCAGGACATAAGAAGGAGAGCAGCAGCAGCTATGGTACAAATATGGAGCATTAGAGAGAGGAAATTTGGTGGAGACTTCAGAAGGAGAATGATAATGTTCAACTCAATGGTGAAGAGTATATGTATGTACGCAGTGGAAATTTGGGGGATAGAGGAGAGGAAAGAGGTGGAAAGAATACAGGAGAGATACTTGAGGAATATACTAGGATTGGATTTATGTGTACCAGGATATTTGATAAGGGAAGAAACGAAGGTGGAAAGGATAGCAGTGGAAGCAGGAGTAAGAGTGATTAAATATGAAGAAAAGATTAAGAGGACGGAAAACGAATTATAAAGACACTGCAGGAGAGAATTGGATAAGGAGAAATGGGAGGAAACGAGAATGGGCAGATTGAGGGAAAAAAAATGTATGAAAGAGCAGGACTAAATAGATGAGAAGCAGAGGCAAGAGATGACAGTGGACAGAATGTGGTCGAGATATGGAGAAATAAAGTGATAGAAGAGGAAAGAAAGGAAAGGGATAAAAAGATAGAAGAATCGAATTACAACAGGGAATATAGAAGATGGAAAACAGAAGGGCTACCAAAATACCTGCAAGAGAAAAGTAAAGGACAAAAACTGAAAATAATGGCAAGGTTTAGATTAGGGAATGAATGGAGGGTAAGCAGATATTGGATAAAGGAGGATGAGAAGATTATGTGCAGATTATGTGGGACAGAGAAAGAAACAGGAATGCATGTAATGAAGGAATGTAATTATTCGGAAACGGAAGAGAGGATAGAAGTATTGATGGGAGAGGAAGGAAAGGGAATCGAATGGATGAAAGAACTAAGTAGAAGGAGAGAGCGGTGTTAAGAGTCAGTAGCAGAAAGAAGATGTTAATAAATGTGTATTTGTATGTATGTGTATTTGTAAAAATGTATAATGTAATTTAATAAGTATTATATTAAAACGGTGTCGACGCACCTCATGTATCCCGAAAGGGAAGCATTATTTTGAATAAAAAAGATTACTTCTTTTTCTAAATAATTCTATTAAAAAAACTATTTTCCCAAAAATATTTCATAATTAAATTAAAAATATATATTAATAGTTTAACAACTACTTAAACGTATAATTTAAATGTCATAAATATTTAATAATTAAAATCACTTTTTAAATGTTACTTCTATTTCTACACAATTTTATTAAAAAATTATTTTTACAAACTACTGAATAATTGAATTGAATATACATATATACAAATACTAACAAAATATTGAAATGCATATTCAAAGCTCATGAATACTTTGCAAATCATTTTCGATCTTTTAATGATTATGTCTGTTAAAAAGAAAAAAAAGGAAAAAGAAGAAAAAAAAACTTGATTATTCGAATAGATTAAATAAAAAGAAAGTCTGGCATTTTCTCGATGATAGACTAATCTTTCCATCGAAGTATAGGGGAGAAAAAATAAAATAAAAAAAAAGGTGCACGCGATGATATATACCCAACAAACACATAAATAATAAAACATACACATAATAACATTATACTTTGTATCTTTTTAAAACGAAGAAAAATAACGAATGAAAGACGGTTACGGACGAAGCTCTTAAACTCGCTAGTTGTGTTGGTGAAGTATTAAAAAGAGTAGGGGGTTCTCGCATATAAGCCAGAATATGAAGGGAACTGTCTTTAGTATAACGTAAAACCACCAACTAGTTACTCACCTGGTCCATTTCCGATCACCTGATATATCAATACAAAATTTCATTTTATTTAATTATTTTTTCTTTTTCTTTTTTTTTCGTTCGTTTAAACAATCACATTTAAATTGTTATTCTAAATAATGTCCTGATGGATTAGAAGTTAACAAAGTGAACGTTGATATTATTTAACGAAAATTATTCATACTTCCGGGTTTCTAATTTATCATTAAAAAAAAAAAAAAAAACAAAGTGAATAAAGAAAGAAGTACAAAAAGGACAGAACAATCCAAAGAAAAAGAAAAAAAAAGAAACAAGTTTCGATAGTTTTGGAAGGAACGATCCTTCTTCAACAGAACTAAGATACAAGTTGTCAAAAATGATTAGTTTGAAGAATGTGNCACATTTAAATTGTTATTCTAAATAATGTCCTGATGGATTAGAAGTTAACAAAGTGAACGTTGATATTATTTAACGAAAATTATTCATACTTCCGCCGGGTTTCTAATAGATGCATTAAAAAAAAAAAAAAACAAAGTGTAAATAAATCGAACAAAAAATAAAAAAGAATTAAAAAATAAGTAAATAAAAAGAAACAAGTTTCGATAGTTTTGGAAGGAACGATCCTTCTTCAACAGAACTAAGATACAAGTTGTCAAAAATGATTAGTTTGAAGAATGTGATCAATGTCATCGTATTATTAAATTTAATATGTCTTGGATCAATCATTTGTCAGGATTTTAAGTTGAATGATCCTGCAGTACATGAGCCGGATTTTGAAATTCGTAAGTTTTACTTTACATTATATGCATTAATTTTGTTTGTTTATTTGTTATCACTTACAAGTGTACGTGTGTATATATATATATATAATAGAAAATTTTATTTTTATAGATCTTATACGTTCAATAAGAGACATATTTTGTAATAAATGGTTTTTTTCCCTAGATAAATTCATATTATTATATTACGGTCTTAGGTAATAGTAAGTTCGGAGTGAATCGGTGAAAGTTGAGTTCGTTTGTTTCAGCATCCTCGTGTGTAGAGTCTCACACGTTTCTATGAACATTTTACGTACACACATGTTCTATGTACGATAAATAGTCTCGATTGAAACTAGGAAGAGAGAAATTGTTTTGTTTCCTTACGTGGGATCGTATAATTGTACCAACGTGTGCGATCTTGTAATATTATTCTTATTACATTTTATGAATGAATCTCCTCATGTTGAAAATATTCACCCTTTATATCATACTTCAACGATTAAATTCATATTTTCAATGTAATCAACATTTATTTTACATATTTTTATTTAGAATTTGTATGTAAACATTTTAATCGTTCAACGAATGAAGTATTTTTCTTTTGAGAAAATATTGTTGATAGTTGATGAGAGTTGGATAAAAATAAAAATGAAAATCGAAATAATTTTCGAGGTCAAGTAGGATTATTCTAGGTCAGCTCTCGAGTATTATCGAATTAGAAAGGGGACGAGTATTCGTGTATTTTGGCAGGTAGATCGAATTGCATTGAACACATTACCCGTCAATATAATGGTATAATAGAACATGGCGTAACAACTCTCGATGGCGTGGCGATGGTTATGTCAGAGATTACATAATACTCTATGCGGAGGATCGTCGATCGCTCGGAGAAAGTACCTGAGTTGTTCGTAAACTTAACTCGTTAAAACGTAAGAGTATTTGTTACTTGCAACAGCGTAGACACCTTTCTTCTTAAATTTTACTATCCAACTAAATTCGTTCTATAATTGTTACTATTATCGTATACTAATCATTTTTATATTCACTCACGTATATAAAAATTTGGTTTTATTTGTTAAACAAGTGTACACACTTTTTTTCCAAATTTTATAATAAAAAATAACAAAAAATTCATCTATATTATTATTAAAATGTTTCGTGTTTGATAATATCAAATTATTATTTCGTCATCAAAAATTTGACTATCAAACAAAATCATTGTTTCTAATCAGGGATCTATGTGATTTAATTTAATTCGACGATTCTAATTTCGATAATTCGACCTACTTATTCATATAAAAATAAAATTAAAAATAAAACAAAATAAAATAATAATAATAATAATAGTAAGAGTAAGAGTAAATACAAAATTAAAGAGTACGAAAGAGACATAGTTATGAGTGAAAGTGATAACGTAATCTTCGTCGTGGCAATGACGCATTTGTATCTTTGTGGATTCCAATGGATCACGTAATAATACGTAATGACGAAAAATGTACATAAACGAGTAAAGAAAAAATGACAATGACGATAACAGTAATAACCACGTGTAGTTGTAAGATAAACATCAAACTTACGAATCTTCGAAAGTGTGCAGATCAAAGTGGACCGACCTTTCAATCCTATTATATTTTATTTTATTTTATTATTTTTTTTTATTTGTTGTTTTATTCTTCGATTGTAAATCGATCGAATGGCAATATCGTAGCAAGTTCAAGAGAAAAAAAGAAGGAAGATAGACGCGAGTGTCAAGACTTTACCTCGACCCGATCGATCTTATCGATTAACAACATTGATCTCAACGAATAATTTCAATGCAATAAAATTGTATACTTTAAAAGAGAAAAGAACAAACCTAAAAATTAACTATTCAAGTAAAAAGTCGTTGATACCTTGAAAATGACCTTGGTAGTCGTCGTCGCGTAGTCGTCGGAGAAAACAAACACGTTTTTACGTGAGGAGAAATAACAATTAACCGATACTATCGTGAATGAAGAAGAATGATCCATGAATTTTAATTAACGATAAAAATTTTTAATTTCTTTTTTTTATCTCTTTTATCTTTTATATTTTTTATTTTATTTTATTGTCAAAGTAATATCTTCTTTTATTATAAACGAATGTATTAATTAAATGGTAAATTAGTTACTACAAATTTTCCTATTATTTTTTTTTATTGATTTATTCACAAAATCTGATTTTTATTCTCTTTTTTTTTTTTTTTTACGAAAAAAAACGAAGAATCATGCAGATTGACGAAGAGTTTAAATCGTAATACAGGAAATTAATTTAATCCTTTGAGAAATGATTACACGTATCTTCGAAGAAAATGAAATTGTAATGAAATTTAAAGAAAGCCTTGAATAATTAGTATAATTAGTTTTTAATCTTTTGATTTTATTACTATGTGTCATTAGTTTTACATTTGAACAGAAGATCTATGAAAAATGTACACATTTGTTTTCTCGTTTATTCTGTTCAAATTGTTTACGTGAATAATGAAAAAAAATGCATCGATTTATAGTGATTAATAAGTGATGATAAGTGATTAAAAATAAAATTTATTTGTTTTATTTTTTTTATAGCGGAGTACGTAATACCATGTTCACAAAAGGATCCCAAAGTCGAAGTATGCGTGGCAAAATCGATTAACCATCTGAAACCGTATTTAATAAAAGGTGAGGTATAACAAGGTTTATCTAACGTCATTCTTATATAAAAAAAAATACCTAGATTCATGAAACCTATAATTGAACGTAACTTTTCAATTGAAAGTGTCGTTAATTAGCATCAACAATTGTTGCAACTTAACAAGACAGTTCTATAAATAACAGCAATATTATTAAATTACACATACAATCTTAGATAATTTGTTTTTGTGGTAATTAATGATAGAGAATTTGAAATTTCATTCAATAATAGACTATAATATACGTCGTATTTTCATATTAAATGTTACGTAAATCAACGTTAAGTCGTAACTTCCGACATTTTTCCTTTAGCCCCTTTTTTAAAGATGATGAAATTTGCTATTAATGTGTCATAATACATCGGTCAACCAAGAATACAGTGATATTCTGTAAGAGCAAAAAAAAACAATAGAAAACTTAAACTGCAATTTTTAATAAAATGCATAAACTCATAATTTAAAGATAACCCATGTGATTAATGTTATAATCAGTCGATTACCTTGCTTTGTATTTTTTTTCTTCAATTGGTTTTTCTTTCTTTTTTTCTCTCTTCCTTTCTTTCTCTTCTCCAAACAACCCAGGAATACCGGAGTTGGATTTGCCATCGATCGAACCACTACATATATCGGAATTGCGTATGGACAATGGTCAGGGTGCGGTCAGAGTTAGCGCATTATATTCCAACATTACCGTTAATGGTGCGAGCAATTACAATGCCACGAAAGTACGAGTAGATTTGAAAAATTTGAGATTTGATCTTCACCTAACCATTCCCAAGGTCGAGTTGCAAGGTCGTTACGAAATTGCTGGAAATGTTCTTTTGTTTCCAATTAAAAGTCATGGAGACTTTTGGGCATTGTTTGGTAAGCAATTAAAAACAAATAAAATGCAAAAAATTTTATCAACATTTTTTCAATAAACATAAATAGTACAAACGATAATAATATTATTTTTAATGAATTAGGTGACATAGCAGCAGTAGCACGTACCCAAGGAGCAATACAAATTCGTGATGGTGTACGTTACATAGAATTCACTAAATTACTCATAGATTTTAGTCTTGGACATGCAAGATTTCGTATTAACGACGAATTAAATGGTAACAACGTTATTGGTCAAGCGATGAATCAGTTTCTCAATCAACATGCGAAAGAGATTATCGAAGAAATGAGACCGGCTGCTAGTAGTAGCATTGCCAAACACTTCTTATCATTTATTAACACGGCTTTCAATAAGATACCACTTAAAGTTTGGTTAAATGACGTATAAATGTACAACGATTACAAATATATATTTTTATGTTTCAATAATACAATAACAAAAAATAAATATAATAAAATAAAAAGAAGGAATAAGACGAACAAAAATAAGATCGAATATGTACGACGTACGAATATCGAATGATTATTATAATATTTGTTCGGTTATTTGAATATTTTCATATACGTGTACATGTAAATTCTTAATTTAAAAAGAAAAAAAAAATAGGAATACGTTTCAAAATTTGTTTTCTTTTTTTATAAATCATTTATAGAGATACGTAAATAACTCGCATGCGTTCTTTGCAAAGATACGACATGTGCAGTATGATTATATTCGAGACGTTCAATGAAATCATACCAAATTAATTAACGAACGATATTTCGTGGTTTTCGAAAAATGTTCGTTACCTATAAAATTGTTATAAAACAAAACAAATAACAGAAGATTTATTATTAATAACAATTAGTTTCGTAATGTTTAACTCAGAATTATTTAGATCTCTATAGTACGCGTGTGTGCGTACACACATACATACACACATATAAATATTTATAAATATATATATATATATATATATATATATATATGTATATGTATATACACATAAGTAACGATCAATAGTTTCGTCAGATTTCATTCGATATAAATTGTAAAAATAATTAATATCGATCTCACACTTTTAGAAAATTTGTTATCCATGGTGTTGTATATAGTTTTTCATAAAAGACAAACAAATTAAACGAATAAACGAAAGTACTTAAAAACAAACAAGTAATTCAAAGTAAAAAAAACTTTAGCAACTTTTATGCAATAATTATACTAAGTTCTATTGTTTTTTGTTTTTTTTTTTTAATTACTTGTGATAGTATTTACATTATAATTATATAAACCGTACACATATATATTATATTATATAGCATTGAATCTATGTAAAACGAAAAAGAAGACATTTTTTTATATATAAAATAAAATCTGAAAAAAAAGAAATTAAATTGATAAAAAATAAAAAATAAAAAAAAATAACAATCGTTTATAAATATAAACATTATTTAAATGAAATAAATAACGTATGAAATAAGAATAGAATAGAAACATGAACATTGTTCCTATAAATACACTTAACTTGTATTCCTATGTTTACTCTTGTAATGTATACTTGTAATAAAAGCACGTTGACTCCGCTCACTCATACACACACTCTCTCTCTCTCTCTCTCTCTCTCTCTGTTATAATTTCATATTATCTCTTTCCACAACGGTCAAACTACTATGATTATAATGATAGTAAATTCGTTAAAACAAAATTACATCAAATGCTAGACGAATTGATAAATAAAAGTTGAAATACATTTATCTTAACTATTTTCTTCTTATCTACCCATTAAAATGATATCAATTGTTGCAAACATGGAGAGAAAATATAATATGAAAGAGAGATTAATTAATCGAAATAAAGAAAGAGAAGAGATAGAAAGAAGAAGAAGAGAAAGAAAGAGAGAGAGAGAGAGAGAGAGAGAGAGAGAAAGAGGGAGGGGGTCTGGGGGGGGGGATATATGAAAAGAGGAGAAGAAGAAAATATCTCTTCATATCATTCGAGATGAGAAAGAAAATGTTTTAGACCAGCGAGTTCTTCTTCAGTCGTACAAAGTTAATCGTAGAAATATCCTCGATGACGGAATTTACCGAAACTCGGATAATAATGTTCCTGTCTCGTAGATGGTAATAACATTGGTCTGATAATAAATTAGAATAACGTTGTAGATGAACATATCTAATGACCTACGACCTGTGGTCTTCGACTCACAACTCAAACTTTAAAAGCAAACGAAACACACGCTTTTAGAACCGAGAACAGCTCATGTCTTCTCGTCAGTCTTTACATACGATCAACCGAATCTTAAGAAAGTAAAAGAGAGAGAGAGAGAGAGAGAGAGAGAGAGAGAGATAGAAAACGAAGTATAAGACAAACATGACTGACTACAAGTGACAAGTTCATCAGAACTTCGCGAGAACGCGTATTCGATGCTCTCTAAAGCATCATTTAAACGAATCGATCAATTAATTGAAAAATTTACAAGTGTTACTAACAATATTCCTTGTTTATTTATTTAAAGATCATTTATATTTTCTATCATCATGGTGCGACAGTTCACTAAAAGACAATGGCTTACACTCATAGTGATTAGCATTGCAGATTTCGCTAATGCTATTTGCGTATCTCTTCAAGCACCTTTTTATCCTCAAGAGGTAAAATCATTTTTATTATTATTATTATTATTATTATTATTATTATTATTATTATTATTATTAATAATATTATCTATATTATTGTGTTAGATTATTCAATTAAAGTGTTGTATTTTCTAATTAAAGGATTCTTGGTTTTAATGTTTAATTTGTGAATTTATTGAAAATACCATATTCGAGTTATTTTTGTTGATTATATTTATTTGTTTTGACGTTCGTGTTTTTTTTTTTTATGTTATTATTATTATTGAGATTATTTTCTTCTAAATTCTTTTTTATTTTTTGTTTGTTATATTTCATTCTTTTTGTTTAAATTATAATATTTTGATATGACGCGTATAACTGGTAAATATTTTAAATACTAATCGTAACTTATGGTACGATATGTAATTTGTGATAATGTTTCTTTTGAAAAAATTCCCTTATTTATCTTTTATTTATTTATTAATTTGTTTGTTTTCTTTTTATCTGTCGAATATTTTGAGAATTATCATCTGTATCGTTATAATATGAAATGATTGAATTTTCACGTTGTTTATGAAGCGAAGTGAGAGCACGCACGCACGCATTTTCAATCCTTGATAAAACTTTCTTTCAATGATAAACGTGACGATTAATATAGAAATTATTGTCTCTTTTTCGAAACAAAATAGTTCAAAAATATTGAAAAAAAAAAAAAAAAAGAAAAGGAAAACGTCGAGAATATATTTTTTTCATCACCCTTTAAAAGGTTCAAGGGTTAACGTACTTACGAGCGAGATAATAAATTAGATAAAACAGATAAATTAGATACAATTCTATGATTTCTTTCGTGATGAAAATGTATTATTTTTTACATCACAAATCTCTTCTTCCTTTTAAAAGGGATTAACACAGCAATAACGTCGTTTTGCAAAAGGAAAAAAAAAACAAAGAACATTTATTTTAATTATCTTTTCTTTATATCTTAGTTATGTCTCTTTTAATTAAGAAATAGTTAAATTAGTATCGACAAATTGTTATCTCACAAAAAGACAAATAAATAAAAAGAGAGAGAACGAAAAAGAAAAAAAAAAGAAATCAAAAAGATCACGAGTTTCTAATTAAATATTTCTTATAATTAGTATAATTATTATCATCGTACGAGTATCTACAACTCGTTGATATAAGACGAAATTATTAATCATTTTTTTCCCGAATAAAATAAACGAGAAAGAAAAAAAAATGATTTTATCTTTCGAAATATGAAATAAATAAAACAACCAAATTTAAATCGTTTATAATCGACAAAAATTCAACAGTAATTTTCCCAAAAACAAAAAAAAAACAAAAAAAAACTTTTCGAGAACATTTATTACTGCATCAAAATTGCAATAAATTCATGATTTATGTATAAGTTTGTAAAATATACATTATGCGTACAAAGTTTATCGTGTTTTATCTAATCGAGTTCGTTAATTGCAATCCCAACAAGATAATAAACTACGTTGTCGGTCAAATCCTCCTATAAATGTGGACAATTTCTATATTATTATAATAACATAATTAATCATTTTCTATAGGCTGAAAAAAAGGGCGCCTCACCTACCGAGTATGGACTGGTTTTTGGTGTTTTCGAACTTGTCGTTTTTATCATCAGTCCTGTTTATGGGAAACACGTAAGTTTACAATCATTAAACACACATATATGTACACACACGTACTAAATAATAAAAATAACAATAATAATATAAAACCAAATTTTTTTTTAAATTTCAACGATCAGCGTAACTTTTAGAAATGATCGATCATCTTTAAGTTTCTGAAACCTTTGCTCGTTTCTCAATCGTTCCAAGTGACTGACGAAATTTAATTCATTTATTAATACTAATCTAAATATAATTAAAATAAAGAAAAAAACAAAGTAAAAAGGAAAGTTAAAATGATGAAGTTTTAGTTTCGATTGTATTTCTTTAGAATTGATAAGTAACACCATAACAACAGATAAACGTAGTATACCCGAGAGAAAAATATTAATAAAAAATAAGAAGAATAATAAGAAGAAGAAGTTATTATAAATTTTCAGGCATGCTTATTCATTTACGCGAGTATAAAGTTTTAACGACCTTTGTTCTTAATTAATCAAAATGTGTTTCTCTTTGCAGTTAAACTGGATCGGTCCGAAGTTGTTATTCAATGGCGGTATCTTGACGACAGGAACTTGTGCTATCTTTTTCGGTCTGTTGGATAAGGTCGACGGTCACTATCCATTTATAATCCTCTCCTTCGTGATTAGGATTGTCGAGGCACTTGGAAACGCCGCTTTTCTCACTGCCAGTTTTGCGATTATCGCTAAAGAATTTCCGAATAATGTTGCTACCACATTTGCCAGCTTGGAAACGTTCTTTGGTTTGGGACTTATTGTTGGTCCTACTGTTGGTGGTGCTCTTTATCAGGTATAATAAACATTAAATATATCGTTATAAACATCAACAAATAATTGAAACAAAAAACAACAAATTCTGTGTCACAAAAATCAAATGAAAATTATTATTTTCTTTTGTTAGGTTGGTGGATATACGACTCCATTTGCAGTTCTAGGTTCAGCGCTCTTTCTATCAGCAGTGACAACAGCATTCATCCTACCAGTCCATAATAATCGTGAACAGGACGAACATAATACTGGAGGTAATATAAAACTTCCCCTCCTCTTACCATCCCCAACAAAATGTCTATCTTTCTACTAATAACATAAATATTCTTTAAGGTGTTTCCAAGGTTCTGAGAATTCCAGGTGTCTTAATGGCAACCTCATCGATAATTGCAACAAGTATGAGTATCGGATTTTTGCAAGCAACATTGGAACCACATTTACGTCAATTCAATTTGAGTCATGTAGTTTTGGGTTTGATGTTTGTTATCAATGGTGGTACTTATGCTCTTACTGCTCCAGTCTGGGGTTGGTTTTGTGATAAATATTCACATCCAAAAGTAAAATTCTTTATTATTTAATTAACGAATCGATTTTTAATTAAACGAAATAATATGATTGATTTCTTGTTTTTATTGTTTTTTATTTTAGATTGCAACAGTCGTTGGATGTATACTCGTTTGTATTGCATTTAGTTTGATAGGACCTGCACCCTTCATACCATATCCTACCATGATTTGGTTGACAATTTGTGGTCTGGTTATACACGGCTTAGGAATGTCTGCTCAATTGGTTGCTAGTTTCACGGATGCTCTAAGAACAAGCATGTAACTATCTTTTTTATTTATTTTTATGATTAATTAATTTTTACACCTGATGATAGGCAACATTCTATACTTATGGTTATTCGATACGTACAATTGTTAGTGCCATCTGTAGATACAAAGAAGAAACTCTAATAAAAAGTGTTAAACAATTTTATCAACTAACAGATAAAGTAGTAAACTGCAATTATCGACGAACCATATAAAGTGATGCCTACGTTCAGGTGTTACCTTTAACTTACATTATAGAATAATATGAAATATAATTAATTAATAATTTATTTGTAGAGCCTATGGGTTTCCGAATAATATTGAAACCTATGGTTTAATTAGTGGTCTATGGACGAGTACATTTGCATTAGGAGCTTTTATTGGTCCAAGTGTAGCTGGTATTCTATTGGATAACATCGGATTTAGAAATGCTTCAATGTTTATTGTTATTCTACATTTCTTGATCGTAAGTATTATTATGTTCAATATAACACATTAATATTAGATTGATTAATTAGATTGTTGATTTAGGTACCTGCTGATATTTTATTTTATTAATTAAAAAAAAATTTCAATTTTTTTAGGGTGCATTCGCTGCAGTGTTTCTCTCAAATTGTTCAAAAACACCAAAACCTTATACGGAAATTGGTGTAGGGGATGACATTAGAGTACCATTGATGGATAGTACTCAATCAAAAGATAATGGTGGTCGTGTAATTCGTGGTCAAAGCGTACCAATAGACAGGCCAAATGCCATGAACTCTTTGATAGCATGCAACAGTTATTCGAACAGGGCTGGAGCATGGTCAAGAGCATCTTACAGTGGACGATATTCTCACAGTTATGGTTCGATTGAAAACAAAAGATTTATCGAATTGACAACGTGATCATATTTAGAAAAATGAATATTACAAGTAAAAGATCAAAGGAGTAAGATTCTCGGCAGGAAACTCAATTCGTGAAAAGTTTTTAATTCGACTTATTTGAATTAATATATTATTATTATTATTATTATTATTATTATTATTATTATTATTATTATTATTATTATTATTAGTATTTTTGAAGAATGACTATCTTCTATTAAAATCAAAGATTATTGTTTTTTTTTTAAACGTGTTCACGTTACTACAATTTTTTTGATTTTGTTTTTAATATTTTCATAATTTAAAAAAAAATGTAAAAGACCGATTTACTTTTTGCGAATTATGTTTCTTTCTATTTCTGTTGCCAGTATCATAAAACAGGTGGATTAGATGTGTTCAAAAATTTTAGATAAAATCATGACGATACACGTACAGTTTCTTTTTTTTTTTTTTCTTTTTCTTAAATTTCATGATAAGGAATGAAATTTCGTTGAAATTAAAAAGAAAACTTTATAATTATTTCGAGAAAAAAGTTATATGATTATAAATATTTTTTAATCTTTAACCAAATTATTAAAAATTAAATAATAAAATATTTTAATATGAATTTTTATAAAATAACATTTATCGATAAGACAAGAAATGACGATAAACGAAATATACTTTTCTAATGAAATAATCCAAATGATTATTCACGATATGAAATTTTAATTGTAGAATTTTCATATGTTTTCTCATTAGTAAATTAATATTTTAGTCGCAGTACATATAGTTTCGTAAGTTTTTATTTCCTTGTGTTAAGATAATTAAGATTGTACTAGAAAAGAAAAAAAGTATAAAAAACAAATTAAGAATTGTTATTTAAATCTAAGATTGTACAAAGTTTAATTTACTATATCAAGCGTTTATTATATCTTTATCATTTATTATCAATATATACATATATAAACACACATGATTATTTGTTTTTTTTAAACTGTTATTAAAAAAAAAATTCCAAAGACCTCTAATCGTCAGCTCAATTTTTATCGTGTAAATTTATTATATTATTATTATTATTATTTTTATTATATTTAAATTAATCGTTTAATAATAGAAAATTCATTTTTTTTTGTACCTAACAAATATACCCAACTAACTTAGCACATACAAAATTCAAAAAGTTTGAGCGTGCATTTTGAACGTTCGTTTTGAATTCCGAAACGACGACGACTACGTGCCCACGTACGCGTTTCTATGCTGTATCCAAGAGAACAATGCGAAGAGTTCAAGAGAGGAAGAGAGAAAGAGAGAAAAAGAGAGAAAGAAAACTTTCTTATAGTCGTAACAATATCTCAGGTACGTATCGATGATTCACTACTTGCTTATGTTCCGGAAAGGGAAAGGCAACATCGAGATGATAAATTTTCTAACCTGTTCTTTAATTTGTTTTCTTAAACCTTCTTAAACCTTTTATTTGTTGATCTTACAAATTGTGTCTATTGAATTCAAAGAAGAAAGATTTGTTTACATTACATTTATTTTGTATTAAAAAAAAACAATTGGAATTTATTTACAATTTAAAATGTACATTCTTAAAATGATTTGAATAGTTTGAAAAAATTATTGCCAAGTATTTATTTCTATTCTTTACAATAATTTCCATTGAAAAATCTATTTTTAATTTTTAATTTAAGAAGTCAAATTCAAATTTTCAATATCTTAACAATTTATTTATTTTAAATTTAAAGATGCAGCATTTTAATTATTTCTATTTTTAATTTAACGAAACACGTAATATTAATTTGCATCGTTTATAAGATTATTTCATATGAGAAAATGTATTCTTTTGTTGTGTTAAGAAACATATGTAATTTGCATTGCATTTTATATTAAAGAATTACATTTTTTTGTTGTTGTTCTATTTTAAGAAGCAGTAGTCGCTCATGTGCATCGGCCCATCCGGAAATCGTTCTCTTCCCTCGCGCGAACGTGTTAATCCTCTAACGGAGTTCCTTTTTGCGCTATTCGAACAACAGGTGACTCGTCTTCATGATTATCCGGAAGTTGAGTCAGTCTCCCTTCTACGATCTCGAGCAAATTTGAAACTCGCTCGATTATGATTCGGACCTACCAACGTTGGTGGCCTCGTGACATGTTTTTGGCTCAGCAAATACACACACACATACATATACAAACAAAAAAAAGATGATCTTTATATTGTACCCTTTTTTCTTTTAATAAACCAGATGAGAAACGTGGAAGTACGAAAAAGAAAAAATTATTAACACATATGGGGGTTCACTGATGTGCATCCATGAGTGTCCAGCCCTTCCTTTATCTTTTTTTTTTATCCCTTTCCTAAGAATAACATTTTCAAACTAAAACTGCATATCTAAATTTTTCATGTTAATGTTATAACTAAAGTACAACGTGTAATTATTGTAATTTGAGATATAGTTTAAATCATTCAAGATGAAGTTATCTGCACGGTTATATTGTTATTTAATTTTATAAGATAAAAATTTTTTACATTATATATAGAAATAATAAATAAAATAAGTTTTATCAGCTTTACACACACCACACATAGCCAAGAATTCAATTAATAATAAATTTACAATATCCTAACAATAATTAAAATTATATCTCAACCACTCACTATCGTTTACATGAACCTATATATTAATATATATTTTTTATTAACATATAGAACCCTTTAATTCTATAAAAATTATATTACTCAATCCATTATTTCGAAATAAAACATATATACAATATATATAATAAATTCTAGATAACAAATACTTTAATTCTTACCAGATAATACCACTTAACTAATACCAGATAAAAATACTTTAATTCTTTTTTTACCCTCTTTTTAAAAACATTGGAAAACAGGACTAACCACCTTAAAATACCAAATTCATATTTAAACTACAAATCGTTCAATTCATAAAATTACCAAGAAACATATAATATATTCCCGTTCAAAATCATTCATCCAGAAATAAAAATCCTATTACACAGACGATTAATAAAAGTTAAATTACCAAGCGTTCCCCCATAGATTAAACACCACCATCTCGACTAAACATCTACAAAAATAATCCCCTTGAAAAAAAAAAAGAAACCTCAATAACGCACCAGTAAAAAAATCTCCAACTAAATCCTTTCAAATAAAATAAAATAGAGAGAAAAAAAGAAGAAAAGAAAGAAAGAAAGCAACAGAAAACATAATCCTTTAAGGAAGATTAGGAAGAATTCAGGTGAGGTGCTGCCACCTGCGACCGAAGTAAACTCTGCAGGTGAAAGAGTAGTAGCAGAAGAAGAAGAAGAACAGACGAATAAGTAAAAGGAGTAAAATAGAAAGAGAGAAGAGGATATACACGAAGGAAAGAACAGGTCCCTTTCGAAGAGGGTTGCCAGTTATATTCCTCCCACCTTTTGTCTTGCTCGAGGCAAAAGCAACCAAGTAATGGTGGTAGTGGTAATAGTGGTGGTAGTAGTAGTGGTTGTTGGCAATGCAACATTGAGAGGGAAGGAAGAAAGAAGAAGGGTGGGGAGGGGAGAAAAGGGGCAGAAAGAGGGACCGACGGTACTTTGGGGACTAGGGGGTTCTCGGAGGGGGGACGCTTTGTGGTAAAGAGACGCGCAGGCGCGCAGGCCCGCGGGGTCCTTTGCCCCAGTCGTGCGGTCAGCTAGTCGAGAGAGACCCAACGTTCGCTTCGATTCGTTAAGGAAAAGGCCGCGGAATCGTCCTCACCGGAATCGGCCGGTGCCGTGTGAAAAATAACACATCTCTCTTACTTTCTTTCTATCTTTTTATCTTTCTAATCTCTCTCTCTCTCTCTCTCTCTCTCTTTCTTTCTTTCATCGTCTCACTGTTTCTATCTTTCTCATTTTCGTAGTTCGATATTTTGTTCGTATTTTATTTTACTACAATTTTTGGGTCCGTTCGTTTGTTTATTTTTGATATATTTTTTTATCATATATTTTTATTTACCTACCGTTTGTAACAAAAGAAACAAATAACAACGAAAAACGCGAGTGTGCAATAACGAATGATCGATAATCCTTAAAGAGGATTTGTAAAAAAAAAAAAAGGGGGAGGATCATCTATCTATCTCTCGTGCAACCAAGGATCAAAAATTGTGCTTGTCAGTGTATACAGTGCCATGGGGATCTAAGAACGACGCCAAGGGTGAGTTTTTTTTTTCTTTTTCCTCCTATAACGATCGATCTATTCTACGTTCGTTAACTACTATTATTATAATATATCTGTTGAAAGATGTTGTTGTCCGTTGCTAGGTAAGATATATTCATCATATATGCTGAGTGAATTTGTTATGGCGGGTAAATAAAAGATAATATTATGAAAAGAAATACGATTGAATTTTATTTGATTTATTTTTCTTTTCAATGTGGTTGAATTTAACATAAAATACAAATGACAAATGATGTTTTTCCAAAAATGCAACATATGAACTGCATAATAAATTGTAAAAAATTATTTGATTTTTCCTTTATGTTTAATCGATATTTTTTTTTTGTCAATTCAATTTTCTGCATGATCAAAAAAAAATGTATTATTCTGAATAATTTCAAATAAAATTTAATAATTTATATTATATTAAATTATTATTTTTAGTAATTTTAACAAAAATTTATTAATTTATATTATATTAAATTTTAATATAAAATTATAAATATTATAAGAAAAATAATTATTTTCGAACAATCTTATTTAATAAATGTATATTTTAAAACACAACTTTAAACATAATATTGAATTATCTTTAGTATTTGATAATGCAATGTTTTATTCGTCATAATTTAATGTTTAACACGTATATCTGATTATTGCATATTTTCTTTGAGCAATTTTATCATTTTTCACGGACTGTTTTAATTATATTTTTTTTTCAAATATGATTTTTTATTTAATATAAAAGTTATAACTTTTCGTTTATTATAGAATTAGATTTGTAGGGGTTGGATATGATGTTTTACAGGGATTCAAGTTATTATAAGAAATCTTTCGTTAATTTTAAATTTATTTCATAAATAATTTGAAAAAAGACACTTCTACGGATATACAATTTTTAAAAAAGGATCGAATTTTTCAAGAGTGTCCTTCTAATTTATGGGAGAGTCTGTTTAATGTTTCACACAGGAAATTAGTCCCAAGTATTGGTATAGTAATTTGATCAGTAACACGTTTCTTCCAATATTTTTCTTTACTATTACGTTTTAAAGATTTTTAGAAGTTTTTCTTTCGAACCCCACAATTTCCAAAAAGTAGGATATTTTTCTTGCACTGAAAAGTTCCAGAAAATTATTTTACTAGGATCCTCATTTGTAATATTTTTTACATGTGTTTTGCACATGTATGCAATCAATATTTAAATGAAATCGAAACGTTTAAAAATATTGTATTATCAATATTAAATTAAAATTTAAACAATAATTACTTTTAGAATATTTACAATATAAAATACAAACATACAATATAATATACAATATACATATGTATATTAATCCTGATATAATTTTTATTTATAATAAATACCAAAAAGCTAAACGTATTCACAGTACTATTAACGTCAGATAAAAATACTCACATAAATTAAATTTCTATAGGTGCTTTTAATTAATACTTTTAATTATTATTTTTCTTAATTTTTTTATCGCAATGAGAGGGAGATTTTTAATTATTTAACAATAATAATAATAAATTATTAAAGAAATAGAAGGGAAAAAAAAGGAATACTTATAAGAGCACTGACCGGTGATTTGAATGCTCTGCGGAAAACAATATCCAACTGATTCATAAATAGTGCAACTTCTTGCCTTGTAAGCAACATACTCGCGTTAAATTACAAAGTGATACAATCTTACGTTTCTAGGATCCTTAACGAGTCTAGAATATAATCGAGATTGAGAAAAATCGATGATATCTTTCAGACGAGTTTCCGTCGTGGGTGCCTTCGTCTAACACAACTAACACCATATGGAAGAAATAACGTTGCGCAACGAATGTGACAAGTCTTGATTTTTATCCTAAGTCAGCGTTTCTATTTTACAATTTTTTTTTTCTTTTTCGATTAATCAACAAATTAATTAATTTTATTTCAATCTTTTTTTTTTTTAGCTTATAATCGAATTTAATATAACAGTTATTTTTACAAACAACGCTTAATAAAGAATGCAACTATTTAAATTCTTTTCGTTTGTTTTTTTTTTAAATAAAATTTTAAAGTAAATAATTTTTTAACAGAGTACTTGAAAAGATATATAATTGTTTAGAATAGAATACACTGACAATTTAATAAAATTATGTTTACTTTTGTACACTGATAATAGAAATGTAAATACAATACTGAAACGCTTTGGTAAAATTTTCACGAAATAAAAGAAAATAAAAATAAAAATTGTCTTAGTTGTAATAAAATACAAAAAATGCATAATAGACATATATGATCGGTTAAAATATTTAAAATTGTGATTCCAAGCGTGTCCAGTGAGGAAGGCCAGAAGGGAACGGACGTAACTTCTTAGAGTTTGAATCCTCTTGGGGTAGAAGTAGCAAGCAGAGGAAAACGTTTCTTCTATGTAGTAGAAAAGACATGCATATATGTGGGCGAATGAATTCATGGTAGAATTTTAAACGCCTTTTAAGTATCCACTGACTTTAACTCTCCGCAACAAGTTTCAACCAACCCAACATCATCTTTTTATACTTTTTCAAAAAGAGAATAAACATCGGGATGTAAATCACGTCGTCGTATTTATTAACGTATGGCGTATATAATGTCCCTTTTTTAGAGTATGGTTTTGTTTTAAAAGCAAATGATAAAAACAAAAATATCAAATGTCTACAGCACATTTTCTTCTTCGTATATTTTTAATGAAATAATTAATTTAATATATGTCGAAAATAAAAAGATGAGATAATAAAAAAAAATTAATTTCAATATCAAAATTGTTAATAAAAATTAATACGACCTTCTAAAAAATATTATACATTTAAAACATCGTTTTTAAATAGGATAAAAAACCCCTCGAATGGCACAAAATCGTGATTCGTTGTAATCGAAAGAGATCTCCTCTTTCTCTTTCTCTTTCTAACTTCTAACATCGAAACAAGCCAATCCGTTTTCATGCGCTTTTACATTTGAGGTCTTGCAGAAACGGATAGGAATCAAAATAAGAGTGTATTAGTAGCACTTGACACGAACGCTTAGGAGATTGTCGTATAGTAGAAGCTTGCAACAGGCCCACATTGCCTCTCCTCGTTTGCATGTATATTTGTCTGTATTTGTACGATCACCTGTGCGTGTGTATGCATGTATTTGTATTTGTATATATAACCACCATAGCCGCCGCAGCCATCGCCGTCGTGAAATGCAGTCGAACCGGCTATAGATGCCATGCACGCATCGTGGGGCTACCGAGAACTTTGTGGGTCCCCATTGCCACGAGACACATAACTTGTAAACAATCTTTTAAAGATCAAGAAAATGACCATAATATATTCCCAGATTAAGATTATTATCATTTCTAATTGGATATTTGTTGATTTTCATTTTCTTTTTTCATTTCTTTCTTTTTTAATTAAAATCGAGAATTCTGAAATTATTTGAAATGAGAGTAGGTTTATTTTAACATACGAAATATTAATCGAATTTATGATTTGCAAATATTTCGTGTTCCCGTTAAACTTTCACTCATTCAAATTCGTCTAACGTACCTGACTATGTTAAAGTTCGATGTTTTCCATTTTTATGTAAGAAGTTTACAAAAAAAAAAAAAAACATGTAAATTTAAATGATTTTATTCTAACGAATGAAATATTAATCGATAGGATAGAAAAATAGATGAAATTTTTTGTCAGTACCATTTTTGATTACAAATATTTCGAATTCTCGTAAAAAACTTTCACCATTTAAAATTCGTCTAACACACCTGACCGAGTAATCGTTGAATTACCTCGTTACCTTCAAGGGACCGGATCGAGAAGGAGGCCTCGCTAAATACCTTATTACTTTTGAATTAACATATCGGTACCAACATAACAGGACTTTTTCCTTGCTCACGGCCACGAGCTTGTCAGCACTCTCTTCCGTACGGATATCGACTTCAAGAAAAAGAGAGAGAGAAAGAAAGAGACATTTATTTGGGTCATTCGTCGTGCCTTTCTCTTATATTTCGTCGATATTTCTTTCAACGATATTTCTATAACGTAACAACGATTATTGGTTAAACGTTTAAGACAAAAAAATATATCATAATAATTACGATTTTAAACTGATTTCAAATTCAAATATTATTTATATTCCTGATATTTAACGCTAAACGCGTCATGTAATTTATAAAAAAAAAAAATCTCCTGAAAACCCATAAATTATGTACATCATACATTTCTAAATAAAATAAAATATATTGTACACCATCCAATTGGTTAAAATCTCATTCACGTGTATACGTGAAATGTCGATAGAGTTCACTGATAAAGTATTCTTATTTCTGTTAATGATATTCCTTGAACATAATAAAAAAAAAAAAAAAGAATAAACGAATAAATCAAAAATATTATTTTATCTTCTACTCAATCTTGTATTTTAAATCATTCATATTCTCGTGATATTTAAAGGGTACTTTTCACATTCTTTATTTCTTTTTATCTTTCTTACTCTCTTTACGATGATCCACAGAGGTGGTGGTCACGCGTGTGCACAAATGTGGTCACACAGGTGTCTCCTTTCGCCTCGATCTTAAAACATAAAAAGTAAGAGAGAGAGAAAGAAAGAAAGAGAGAGAGAGAGAGAGAGAGAGATATTATCTGTAGGATCGAGATCGATCGATTCATTCTCTTCTGACTCTCCCGGGATTTCTAAGCTGTGGAAAAACCAGTTTTAATCTCTCCCCCTCCCCCCTCTCTCTGTTTCTTTCTCTGATTCTGTTTCTTTCTATTTTAGCAAAGTGATATAAATGTCCACGAGGAGTAGAAGAGATAGGTATACCGTAAAATGCGAGATTCGCTTCTTACGCGTCTCCATCAACGGTAAGCAACAGCAACAGCAGCAACAGCTTTCATTTTAGTTTCTACAAGCAAGAGACCAACCAACCGCCGGTGGTATCACTACTTTCAACACGACGCGTATGCTATATAATAAGAATGTGATATTTTCGATAGATATA